GTAGCTTAGTTGTGTTTGTCAAGTATGCATGAAGCCCTGGGTGCAGTCCCAAGCACCACATAAAGGTGATGTAGTGACACGTGCCTGTAATCCCAGTAATTCTGAGGATCTTGAGGGAGGATGAGTAGTAGTTCAAGACCATCCTTCACTATAAAGCAGATTAGAAGCCAGTCTTGGCTACAAGAGACCTTGTCATCATTGACACCCCACTCAACAAGAACAAAGAAACAAAAGTAAAACAATAAAACAAAATTGCAGTCCTGCAGTAATCTCCTGAGTTTCTGGGATTACAGACGTGAACCATCAGTCCTCCTTTACCACAGCAGTCACTCTGAGTTATCTGCCTTCATAGGGAAATTTTATTGGTCTGATTTGGGATTCTAGTTAATCCTAATGGAGTTTATTCAATGTGAAGGAATTCAGGTCAGATCACTTCGATCCACGGCCCCATCGCCACCTAGTGGTCACTGTGTGAAGTCATAGGCAGAAACGAATCTCATCTAGTCTGTGAGGCAGTTACAGTTAATTCTCATTTTAAGATTGGCAAACAACCTTTTTTTTCAAGACAGGGTTTCTCTGTATACCTGGCTGTCTTAGAACTCACTTTGATCATGGAGATCCACCTGCCCTCTGTCTCCCTAGTGTTGGGATTAAAGGCATGTGCCACCACTGCCTGGCTCAGGCAAACAATTTTTAAAGAAACTTTACAACACCCAGCCACTACTTCCTATACCTACTGTATGTAATCCAGTCCCTGCTGCAAGAGGTCTCATGGTCTCAGGAGGTGCTCGAGTATATTGAAGTAACTGGAGAGGGATGCCATCTGAGCAGCTGTGGGGAAGTCATTATGCTGGGTTGAGACTTTTGGGGGGGTCACCCTTGTTCCTGGAAGTAAACCCTCAACCATGCTCTGTAAGTAAGCCAAACAAATTCACTCCTTTGCCAAGATGAACTCTGATGACATCATCCCTTTGCTCTGTCATTTGTGCCCTACCTGAGGTGATTAGACACTTGTTCACTTGTTCTCCTCAGGGAAAGTTCATGCAACAGGAAGACGAACAAATAAAGGGATATCAGGAAGCAAAACAGCGGGGGGGGGGGAGGACTTGGGAGGCAGAGGCAGTGGGTGGCTTTGATTTTGAGGCCAGCCTCATCTACATAGGGAATTTTAGAGTAGCCAGGGCTATATAGCGAGTCTCAAAGCGGGAGGTAGAGAGCTGGAGAGACGGCTCAGCAGTTAAGAGCATTTGCTGCTCAAGCAGAGGACCCAAACTTGGTTCTCAGCACTCACGTGGTAGTTCAAAACTATCCATAATTCTGGTTCTGGAGGATCCAATACCCTTCTGGGTTTTACAGGGATTAGGCACATACATACATGTAAACACTAAATCAAAAAAGCTTTTTTAAAAAGAAAGAAAAGGCTAGGCGTTGGTGGTGCATGTCTTTAATCCCAGCACTCGGGAGGCAGAGGCAGGTGGATCTCTGTGAGTTCGAGGCCAGCCTGGTCTACAGAGTGAGTTCCAGGAAAGACAGAGCTATATAGTAAGACCCTGTCTTGGAAAAAAAGGGGGGGGGGAAAGAAAGGTTCAAGTTCAGAACTTTCCCCAGCACAGCAGGGAAGGTGACAAGAGGACATCTCCATAGGCAGCTCCAAGACAGAGCCAGACCAAAGCCAAACTCAGGCCGTAGCACCTAGCATGGTCTTAGAGCCCAGTAACTGGACACGTGGTCTTTAAAGAGTTATTTGAGGTTGAATAGGTCCTGCAGTAGTAGTGCGCCCTACCCCAATATGACTGGGAATGTTGGGCATGGTAGCTCATGCTTATGATCCCAGCACTCAAAATGTAGATCAAGAGTTGAAAGCCATCCTTTTTTTTATTTTTCGAGACTGTGGCTTTGGAGGCTGTCCTGGACTAGCTCTTGTAGACCAGGCTGGTCTCGAAGGAGTTGAAAGCCATCTTTGACTATACACTAAGTTCAAGGCTAGCCTGGGCTACATGAGACCCTGGAGATAGATGGGGGTGGAGCACTACATGAAGCCATAGGGAGAAGATGGCCATCTGTAAGTCATCAGGCAGTTAGACACAGCCCTACCTAACAGATGCACACCACCCAGCAGGTGCAGCTACAATGCCCTGTGTTTTATATATGGAAGACAGGTAGTGAAAGCATGCCAGCAGCCTGTCTCTGACACGGTTCTTCTTCTTTGGATCTGATAAATAGTGCACATACCTTTCATTCCGCATCAACATGAACATGGGCTGACATGTATACAAGACAGGGTCCCATCTGTCTTTACTGTAAGTCAAGGGTAGACTGGAGTCAAGTGTGTTGACAGCAACACTAACTGGAGGAGGAGGACGGGAAGAGACTCTCTCCACAGTTAAGTCCAACACTTCACGGAGAATCAGAGTCAGTGTGCACCTTCTTTACCTTGGTTTCCAAAACCTTACACCTTAGTATCATGGGTGCAAATAGTTTTATGGGCAGGGCATCCTTTGAGATGGCAGATAACAAGTTACTACAGAAGGACATTTAAAAATGAACGTGACAAGAGTTATGGAAAAAATCTTAAATGAAATGTAGATGACTGGAAGTAATACACAATGCTAATACCACATTCATATAGGGCAGAAATGCTTAGTTACACTGTGTCCTCAGTCAGCTAGCCACTTTTTTGTTGTTTTCAAGACAGGGTCTCTCTTTGTAACTCTGGATGTCCTGGAACTCACTATGTAGATTAGGCTGGTCTTGAACTAATTCTGAGAGATCCACCTGCCTCTGCCTCCCAAGCTCTGGGATCAAAGGTGTACACCACTACTGCCCTGTTTAGTCAAATAGCCTCTTAATTCCATACCACAAGCTAACTCTACACAGAAACAGAAGTGGACTCAGGGGAAATACGCTCATAAGCACAAATAAGTTACAGGACAGTATAATAATTACAGTGGTACCCAATACATACCAAGATTTGACCAAAGAGACTGTGTGGGGTGATGGGAGCCTACAGTTCAAGATAACTTTTTCTTCTTTCTCATCCTCTTTTCCTCCCCAAGACAGGGTTTCTTTGTGTAACAATCCTAGTTGTCTTGGAAATCTCTTTGTAGACCAGACTGGCCTGGCACTCACAGAGATCTGCCTGTTTCTGCCTTTTGAGTGCTGGTATCAAAGACATGTGACACCATGCCAGGCTTTCTTTCTGGTTCTTACTAACCACAGCTACCAGAAATTTCAGAATGCAAGACATTAGAACGAACCTATGGAACGGTGCTCTGACTCCAGTTCTTAGTGTTCAGAGAACACCCTGATATGGCTTTTTAGAAACAGGTGTTAAAAATGTCTTCCTACTCTTGCAATCTCTGTATTTGACAAACAGATAAACAAGGATGCCAAATTGTGCTAGTGGTTGTAAGAAGGTACGAAGAACAAATCTTACCTTTGACAATGCAAAGAGCTTTTCGATTTAGCAATTCATAAGAGCTAATAATAATGGTTCCAGGTGGAGGAAACACCTACTGCATGTGACACAATATAGAGCATACCACCTCACTGCGTTCACTCTTCCCTGTAGATAGCTAGGTTTCTCCCAAGTTTTTATGCCTGGAAATGGTATGAGGCAGATGGCTTACAAAAAATCTCCCCAAATTGCATAAAAAAACATTATCCCCGAATCCCCGAATGCTTTTGATAGGTGAATGTCTTTTAATTTTTTTGGACAGATAGCATTAAATATGTAGCTAAAGTGAATTCATCTAGCAGGGGATTTCGAATGCCTTGAACTTTTATGTATCAGGAGAACAAGGGGTAATGTGTGGCAAGCAAGCCTAACAACCTAGCATTTGGGAGGTGGAGGCAGGAGAAATATTAGCTCAAAGTCATCTTCTGCTACATAGTTTGAATCCAGTCTAAGCTACATAAGACTTTTGTCTTTGAAAACACACACACATATACACACCAATACAAATAAACTTAAATAAATAAACTAAACAAACTAAAAAAAAAGGAGTAGGGCAGAGTTGAGTCTTTCATAGTCAGAGCTCATCTGGGCAGTCTTGTGGAAATTCAATGTCTAGTGAGTTGGGTATAAACCATGTGGAATGAATGGCTTCATGACAAGGAGATGCTGGCAACCTTGCCACTAGGGGCATAATCCCCTATTTCTCGTTCCTAGTCAGATCATCACTCAACCCAAAGCCACGCCATACACAGCTAGCAATAATGTTCAAGATTGGCATGTAGGACAAGATAGGCTTGGCCCAGAGAATGGCAACTAGAGAGCATGGCCCCAAATACAGCATTTCTGTTGCTATTGGTGCGAAGGGCATACTGGATGATGTGCCAGGCGCGGGTTGGTGGTGCTGGGAAGGTTTGGTCCTCAAGAGATCAGAGGGGCGCGTTGACATCGGTGTAAAGGCAGGTAGCGAACGCATATATTTGAGTTAGTGATGAGTTCTGTGAAGGAAAGAAAATTGGGTGATGTGACTGCCAGCCGGAGGTGATGGGCGGTAGAAGTTGTCACCGCAGCTCGAGTAAACAATGCCTCTTCCTCTGGGCAGAGACGAGCCGGGAAGGAGCAAGGAGTAAGATAGGAAGTCAGATCGGCTGATTCGGCCTCCGAGGTCCGGCCAGGCACGCAGAACAAGCTTTGTGACGAGCTCTGCCAAAGCCTGGCACAGGAAGGCTTTCAGCGACGTGCAGGATCCGAAAGGTGGCTCTGGGCTGCGGACGTATCTCAGCAGGACCGGGGCTCAGGCCTGGCGGAAGACGATCGCCCCAACTGCCCACACTAGGTTGAGGCTGTGGCCCAGCTCCGGGCTTTCCGCAGAAATGGAGCTACGGGAGAGCCAGGGACGAAACCAGAAAGCGCCTCCCGCACGCCGCCATCTTGACACGGGGGAGGCGTCGCGGGAGGGGCGGGGCCTGGCGAGACCCAAACAAGCCCACGTGCGGGCCGGTCCGTCGCGGTGACGTCACGGTGCGTTGGAGCGCGCGCCGGCCTTACCCTTGCCGCGGGGCCGTAAAGCGCGGAAGGTCGCGGGCCCGTGCAGTCCCGGAACTCACCGCTCTGCGTCCCGTCCCCTCCTCATGCCGCGTCCCCCTTCCTGGCCAGCGCAGACCCTCTTCAGCCGTTGTGCTGCCCTCCGCTTCCGCCGGGCGTCGTTGGACGCGTTGCGCCTCTTGCGGGCCCCTGAGGTAAGGAGGCGGCTACGACCTGCTAGTCCGGACGGCCTCATCGTCCCGTGAACTCCCGCGTCCTCCACGCCCCAGTCCTCCGCCTTTGGCCTCCGGCTCCCGGTTTTCCTCCTGGTCTCTGAGGCGGTGCGGTTGGGCGCCAGACTTGCGGGCAGCGGAGCTGTGCGGACTTCGGGGACCCGCGCCGGCTGCCCCGGGCCTGCGCGCGGGCTCTCCCAGGGTGGCTGGGCCTCGGGGCTGACCGCAGCTCGGGCGGGCACGCACCTGCTGTCACAGCCAGCTGTGCTCTCTACGTGTCTGCAGGCGGAATTGTTTTCCCGCCTAGAAGCGTGCTGTTCGGTTGTGCTTTACCAACTCTTGACGGAGACTATATCGGGCGGTGGGATTTCCAATGGGTGACTTGAGGGGTACTGAGGTTCGAGTCCATGGTCTTGGAGACCACTTTGAGCATTTATGCAGCCTTGCAATCTTGATGTATAGGGATGGCGTGTGATCGAGGGTCTAGTGGAAAGATAGCCTTTAAAGGGTCCGCTTTTTGGCGGCAGGCGCTTGTATCATTTTTCTTAAACTCTCTTGAGCATCCGCTGCATTTGTCGAAAAATACGACATCCTAAATCCGCAGGATTAGACTGCAGATGCAGATTCTGTTGCTAGTAAAGTTGTCCTGGTGATTCCACTGAGTTACGTGTGGGAGATGCGTCTGCATTCTACCTTCGTCCTTTGTGACCTATGCCTCATCCCTGCTACCAGAGGAAAACATCCAGGAATTGTTAAGAGATGTCACTGGTTTTGTCTTTTAAAGATAGGCTCTCACACTGTAGCCCAGGCTCACCCGGAACCTGGGACATTCGTCCTGATTCAGAATCCGGTGTGGTGGGCTTAAAAGTGGGAGCATTACTCCAGGCTAGAGCTGTCATCTTGTTGAGGTAAGAACTAGTCAGGGTTTGTTTAGACATTACTCTTACTAGTAGAGATAGTTATTTTCACGAAAGCATAAAAATTTAAAACCTCTTGACGCTTCATTACCTCCTCCTCCTCTCTCTTTCTCTGCCTTCTTCCCCCCACCCCCAGCTCCGGAGTGCTGCTTTAACATGAGTTGCCCGTTTGTATTGCATTGTTTGTTTTGTTTTGTTTTTCGAGACAGCATTTCTCTGTGGCTTTGGCGGCTGTCCTGGAACTAGCTCTTTTTTTTTTTTTTTTTGGTTTTTCGAGACAGGGTTTCTCTGTATTGTTTGGGAGGCTATCGGTCCAGCCCAGCCTCAAACTCACAGAGATCCGTCTGCCTCTGCCTCCCGAGTGCTGGGGCTAACTAAAGGCGTGCACCAACATCACCCGGCTCTTGCATTGTTTGATTTAGGCTTTCCACAACCGTGTGAGGTAGATATTTCTAGCTCATGTAACAGATAAGGAACCTGACACACAAAAACTTGCTCAGAGTCATACAGATGATGAGATGTAAGGAGATAAGGAGATTTAATACCTACATGTGCTTGTAGAGCTTGGATCCCCCGCGGATCACTGTATTACTCCTCCACTCAAATGCCTTATAGATTACTGGAGAGGATGAAAAGTTCTGTTCTGGGAGAACACAGAAGACTCCCTTATCCAAATACACTGTTACATAGGCTATGTTCTGAAGAGATACCTTTGCCCGGCAGACAAGCGGCAGAACTGTTTAGAGAAGCAATGCACACAAGACCAGGCATGCAGAAGAAAGTTAAGCCTGACTTGTTTGAGGAGTTACCAGTATGCTCCAACTTAGTGAGAGTTTGAGAGGCAAGAAGAACAGTGAGGCCAGAGATAAACCACATTGTGAAAAGTGTTGCACTTTGTTGTAAGGAGCTTTCACTTTTTCCTGCAGGGGTCAGCCTGTCATGGGAAGGTTGTGAGAAGAGCCTCGAAAGATTTCCATTGTGGAAGACAGCTCACTTACTCCTGTGTATGCATTTAGGTGTGTGGGAGAAAGGTGGTCACTAAAAGCAGAAGCTGTTAGGGGATTTGAAGAGAAGTAGATTTAGGAAATAGACTAGACAGGGAACGTCCTGAGAAATGATTGGGGAAGAGAGATGAGAAAGGGAGGAATCCAGGTGAGTCTGGATTCTAGTATGTGGAGCCACTGGGGACAGACACAGTGTAGGAAAGATGGAAAGTAAGGGAGGGGTGTTTGCATTTGGATGTGCTTGGTATTCCCTGTGGGATCAAGTGGACATAGCCATTCTGCACTTGATAAACAGATCTGAAGCTCAGGGAGTAGGATTCTTGGGTTAGGCCATGCATCATGGTGACATTTAAATCACCCAGGGGAAAGATGGGAAGGCTCAGAGTAGAAGATAGGTTCTAGCAAAGAGGTGTGAGCCAGGAACTGTAGTAGTGAAAGTGAAAACCTGTGTGCAGGTGGGAAGGAGTGATCTGTAATTAAGTGTGATGATGTGCCGGGTGCTGGTGGCACATGCCTTTAGTCCCAGCACTGGGGAGGCAGATCTCTGTGAATTCAAGGCCAGCCTAGTCTACAGAGTGAGTTTTAGGATAGGCTCCAAAGAGAAACCCTGTCTGGAAAAAACAAACAAACAGAAGTATGATGATGTGAGAGAGATATCCTCTGAAACCAGCAAATTGAGTGTTTTTGGTGAGAAAAGTGTCAGCACAGGGGCTGGAGAGATGGCTCAGTGGTTGAGAGCACTGACTGCTCTTCCAGACCTGGGTTCAATTCCTAGCACCCACATGGCATCTCACAACTGTCTGTAACTCCAAGATCTGACACTCTCACACAGACCAATGCACATAAAAAAAAACAAACAAAAAACTAGTGTCAGCACTATAATCAGACCAAAGCATGTTTTTTTTGTACAGGACGATGAAGGAGTTGGGGGTAGAATATTCTTTTTGTTTATTAATTTACTGTCAAGTGAACAATAAGTTTTTGAAAATTTCATTTCTTTATTTATTTGAGACAGGATATCGATACATAATGCTGGCTGGCCTGGAGCTTGCTATGTAGACCATGTTGGCTTAACTCTGTGCTTGGGTTAAAGGAGTGGTGCCACCATGCGCAACAAGAATGTCTCTCAAATTATTTATTTATTTATTTGGCAGAGTTACTCTGTAGCTTCCGAACCTGTCCTGGCACTCACAGAGATCTGTCTGCCTCTGCCTCTCCAGTGCTGGGATTAAAGGTATGCACCACCAGTGTTGCCGCTTTAGCCCCCAAATAACACACAAGACACTATATTAATTATGAAGCTGTTGGCCATTTGCTATGGTTTCTAATTGGCTAGCTCTGACTTAATTATTTACCCATAATTACTAATATATATTTTTAATAAGGTCTTATCTTCCTGAGAACACAGATTTGTGTCCTCTTCCCGGGAAGATCACATGGTGACAACTGTCTTCACTACATTTCCCAGAATCCTCCTAGCCTTGCTTCCCTGTTGGCCAACAGTGCTTTATTTATACCACTCAAACATACACAGAAGGACTTCCACATCATCTCCTCTTTTCTGTCTAAATAAAAGGAAAATGTTTTAACTTATCATAGTAGAATATAGAATATATAATAGAACAGTTATCAAGCAAGTACTATAGTTACAATATTTTGCCCATTAACATTTAGTAAGATTTAAAGAAAATATTTTATTATCTATCCTATCCATGTGAGTCTAAAGTCTTATATGTAGCTTATCTTTTATCATAACTAAGGAAAACTATAACTACAACTATCTATCTTCAACTCCATCAAAGACCACAGATGGATAATATATAAACACTAGAATTGACAGAGACATCTCGCTACCTGGACAGTCAACCCAAAGTTCCTCTGCAACATTGGGGCATCCATCTTCAGCCCATAAAGCCACAGTGTGTCTGGAAGACTTCTCAGCAAAGCAGGAAATTTTAAACTGTCCATCTCCATTGGCAGTTTGTCAATCATTTTTCTGTGTCCTGCAGAATGTCTGGCAGACTCTTCCATGAAGCTGGAACCCTGTAGGACTGTCCCAAGTTCAGCAGTCACTTTTCTGTGGGTCCTGCATGTCCATTTTATTTAGTAACAGTCAAGCAGTCCAGGCAAGAGCAGTTTCTTGCCCAAATGGCTAATCTTGCCATGTTGAAAGCAAAGTCCATAACGAGTTTCTTCGATGCCCATCTTCCTCTCAGATGTAGTTGGTGTGCCTGGAGAAGACATTTCTCATTGTCAAGAAAGACCCTAAACCATTTTAAATGCCATTTTCTGAAGCTCTTTGAAAGGTCTATCTATCTTATATATATATATATATATATATATATATATATGTATGTATGTATGTATGTATATATATATATATATATCTAGAAAACCTAACTAACCTAACTTTTGACTATCTATAACTGTACTATCTATAATCTGTACTTTTTTATACATTATATTTTAAAAGATCAGTATAAATACAATAATCAAGAGGAGAAATACACATATCACAAAACTGACCTTAAATTTGTATTAATAAATGAAAATCCATTACAAGACAAAGTATTCATTTCTATATCATATTCCCTTTTTTCTTTTTAGAAAGAGATTGACTGTGATCATTACCATTTATAAGAAACACTGTAAAAATGAAAACAAACATTTAAACAATATTTGGGAGTTTGGGCATTGGTCGTTCCAAACTGCTTCCTGCTGGATGGGTGTGCTGTCCATACCATGGGGGTCATGACAAAACACAGAAACCTGTATAAGTCCTTGTTTTTGTAGTCTGCAAGACTGCATCATGTCAGATGTTTTAGGGATCACCTGGGCCACTGCTTCTGGGGTGCTTTGGTTCATTAAATCATATAAATCTGGAAGGAACCCATGGCTTTTCATTTTCTGTGGAAACATAAGCAAAATCTCTTTTCTCAAGTAACCTGTCCTTATATTTAAATTTAGAAGTCAAAGCATTTTTAAAATATGTAAGTTGGCCAGGCGTTGGTGGTGCACGCCTTTAATCCCAGCACTCGGGAGGCAGAGGCAGGTGGATCTCTGTGAGTTTGAGGCCAGGCTGGACCAACAGCCTCCAAAACAGAGAAACTCTGTCTCGTAAAACCAAAAAAAAAAAAAATATGTAAGTTGGATTATTTTAGCAGCATTTATAATCAAGTATATTTCAGCAGTTTTCCTTCCTTAGCAATTGAACAACTGAAAAACAATAGCATACAGTATCCAGACTCTCTTAAGTACTTTTCATCTTTACGTGGCTTCTTTACTCTATATCTTTTACTTGCATTCTCTTCCCGGGAAGATCCCAAGGCAACAACTCTCTTCACTACATTTCCCAGAATCCTCCTAGCCTCCTAGTCCCACCTATCTTGCTTCCCTATTGGCCAACAGTGCTTTATTTATACCATTTATACCAATCAAACATACACAGAAGGACTTCCCCCATTACCACCACTGCTCGGCATGTCTTATTTTTAATGAATGATGGTATGAAACACAAGGTCTTAGGTATAAATATATATATGGGATCTCTCTAGATAGCCCTGGCTGTTCTGGAACTTACTATGTAGACCAGGCTGGCATCAGAGATCCAGAGATCTGCCTGCCTCTGCCTCCTGAGTGCTGAGATTAAAGGTATATGCCGGGACTCCTAGCATCAAGAATAAATTTTTGTTTAAAAAATTTGTTTGGGGATTGGAGAGATGGCTCAGTAATTAAGAGCATTGGCTGCTCTTCTAAAGTGCCTAGGTTCAGTTCCCAGCACCAACACGACAACAACCAGTCTGTAACTTCAGTTCCAAGGGAATCTGGTGGCCTTTGTTTGGCTCCCTCAGGCACTGTGCATACACAGACAAATATGCAAATGACACATGCATGCACATAAAACAAAGAAGCAAACAAACAAGCAAAAAACTCAGTGGTAGACCTAAGCGTGGTGTGCATCTGTAATCAGCACTTTGGAATGTATTTGTAGGAAGATCGGAATTCAATCTCATGTATGGCTACGTAGTCTAGGATACTTAAGATTTTTATCTCAAAAAGAACAAGGACAAAGATCTCAGTGGCTGATGAGCAAAAAGGGGTCAATACCCTGCTGGGGAAATCCCCAGAAACAGCTGACCTGAGCAAGTGGGAACTCATGGACCCCAGTCTGACAACTGGGAACCTGAATAGGGCTGAACCAGGTCCCCTGAATGAGTGTCAGTCTATGGGGCCTTTGGCAGTGGAACCAGTATTTATCCCTGGTGCATGAATGGGCTTTGGGAGCCCATTCTCTATGGAGAGATACTCCCTCACCTAGATACACAGGGGAGGTCCTAGGCCCTGCCCCAAATGATGTGACAGACTTTGATGATCCCCCATGGGAGGTCTCACCCTCCCTGAGGAGTGGGTGGGGGTTGGTAAGGGGAATGGGAAGGTGGGAAGGAAAGGGAACTGGGATTGATATGTAAAATAAGATTGTTTTTAATTTAAATAAAAAGTAATTTTAAAAAATCTCAGTGGCCATTGTCTAGTCACTAAGGTATGAAGAAATTGGAACATAAGGCTTGGATGGTGGAAGACAACATTCTAGAAAATTACCATGCACACTGGTATTGATGATTGTGATATGGGAACACCTAATTCCTTTCTGTATTTGCATTTTTGCAAAGACTAATTTGTACAATTTCAAATTTTTTGAAATAAAAACTTTATGATAGGGAGCTTTTGTATCTTTTATTAGATTACCTAGAAGGAACTTGAGCATATTCCATGCTGAGGAGAAGGCACAAATGGCAGGAGATCATTGATTGCAGGGTGTAAAAGTAAGCAGTGCATTGGACTGAGATGCAGAGAGGGCAGGATAGAGGGGTTTCTAACACTTGTGGACAGACTTTCAACCTATTGAAGTTTCAGGAATGAACTGGGAGAAGCTCTCTGGGTAGGGAGGGAGAAAGCAGGTATGTAGAAATCATAGAGAAGAGCATGCTTATGTCTCTAGAGCCGGTACAGGCCTCTTAACCCGAATCACAAAGGAGCAGGGCTATCTTGGGTTTCTAGTGCTATGATAAAACACCATGACCAAAAGCAACTTAGGGAGGAGAGGGTTTATTTCATCTTAGAAATCTCAGCCATAAAAGTCAGGGAAGAAACATATGGCAGGAACTTGAAAGCAAGATCTGATGTGGAGGCCATAGAGGAGTGCTGCTTATTGGTTTTCTCCCCATAGCTTGCTTAGCCTGCTTTTTGATTGAGACAGAGTCTCTCTCTATATCCCTGACTGACCTGGAACTTACTCTGCAGACCAGACTGGCTTTGAACTCAGAGACCCACCTGCCTCTGTCTCCCGAGTGCTGGGACTAAAGGTATGTGCTACCTCTGCCCGGCCTCAACCTGTTTTCTTAGACACTTAGGAATTCTCCCCCCTAAACAAAATGTGGTGCACAGATATACATACAGACAAAACATTCATTTATAAAAATAAATCTAAAAGACATTTTTAAAAAGACTACAGTTCTGAGAGTCCTCTTTGATGGTGTCCTCTTTGGCCTTGGAGGGCATGGACCGATGGGGAGTCTGTAAATCCAGATGCTAGTAGTGGAGGTGGTGGCAGCTTTACTAGCGGTGTGCTGCTCTGATTCCCACATATCTGCCCCTCTGTGTCTTAAGCTCTGTAATGCTGGCATAGGCTTCTGTAGGTCATCCTTTGGTTTCTTGAGACTTAAACAGTCTTCTGTATTCCTGTTAGATTTTGTCAAAACCTTGTCTTTTTTTTTTTAAAGCCAGTAGTAATTTTGTGTATACTGGACCACACCAAATAATCAGTCTCTTGTGGTTGGGTTCTTCCTTCAGTTCCTGTTACCCAGAATTCACTTGATTCCTTATTGCCATTCTAAGCAAATATGATAGTCAGACTTGTTCTGTTGTCTTTAGTGTGTGTGTTTCCTGTGTCTTTGTCTCTATGCAGACTTTACTCTTCCAAGGCTCAACTTAAATCCTACTTTGAGTATGATCCTTTGCCTGATGATCTTAGCCTTACCCTTTTCTTTAGGCTGTGTGTGTGTGTGTGTATTTATATATTACATGTAAATATATATATATATATATTTCTTTTGGGTTGTCGAGACAGGGTTTCTCTGTAGCTTTGTAGACCAGGCTGACCTTGAACTCACTGAGATCTGCCTGCCTCTGCCCCTTGAGTGCTGGGATTAAAGGCGTGTGCCACTACTGCCAACCTAGGCTATTAATAATTTTATAGAAATACGTATGACATAGCTGGGCAGTGGTGGCATATACCATTATTCCCAGCACTCAGGAGACAGAGGCTGGTGTATCTTCGTGAGTTTGAGGCTAGTCTAGTCTACAGAGTGAGTTTCAGGATAGCCAAGGCTACACAGAGAAACCCTACCTCGAAAAACAAAACAAAAAAGAAATATGTATGACTTCTGTGTAAATATAAGCTAAAACCCTTTTCCTTCTTTCCATGGAAAGGTGTCTAATACTTTAGTTTTTGCTGCTTTCTCTGGGGCAATCCAGGCCTCTTTCACTGGGCTCTAGGTCCTGTCTCTTTTCTTCCTAAGGACTTTATTCTTTGATTTTACGTCTCCCTGGCTCTTCTGCTGGATTACAGTGCCTCCAATCACTAAGCTATCTCACTGGCACTTTTTCTTTCTGTCTGTGTCTCTCTGTCTGCCAGTATCGTATCTTTAGACTAGATCTCTAACCAGAGCTGGCCTGGAAATCTCAGTGTAGCTGAAGGATGACCTTGGACTTCTAGGGATCCTCTTGCTTTCCCCTCTCAAGTGCTAGGATTATAGACTGTGCTGCTATTCCCAGATTAGGCTTCTTTATGCCTTTTTTTCCCTGTTTTTGTTTTTTGTTTTCCTTTTGTTGTTGTTGTCATTGTTGTTGGTGTATTGTGCTTTTGAACCAGGATCTCCCTGTGTAATCCTGGAAATTCATATGTAGACCAGGTTGGCCTTGATCTCTCAGAGTTCCACCTGCCTCTGCTTCTAGATTTTAATCCTCCTCTGGGACTAATGGCATGCACCACTGTGCCTGACCTTTTTTTTTTTTTTTTTTTTGCTGTTTGTTTTGTTTTTAGCAGAATCTGAAACATAGGTCCTCAAATATATGTCACATGAATAGCTATTGTTCTTTGTTAAATTCTGTTCTCATTAGTCCTAAGAACTGAGTTCAATGGAGTGAAATTGTCTGTTTTTTTCTTTCTAGTTTGGATTCTTTGGATCTTCTCAATTGAGTGGAAACATATCTCTCAGTTGGTGATGCTTTACCGGTTACTGTCCATTGTCCAAAGACAAAGAACTAGCCCAGGATGGCAGACCTGGTCATCAGCAAGAAACAGCACATCAGTTGCCGAGTCACATTCTATCACTCTGCCTGCCCAGGCCCAGGTGGTCATCTGTGGGGGTGGAATCCTGGGTACATCCGTGGCCTATCACCTCTCCAAAATGGGGTGGCAGGATATTGTCCTTTTGGAGCAGGGCAGGTAAGGATTAAATTGGCTTGACTTGAGGTTTGGCTGCAATAACAGTACAGGGCTCTATCTTTTCCATAATGTCAGACCTGTAGCTAATCTAAATGTTATATACTAGTGTGAGAAGACCCAAGGTGAATTCTGCACTGTGGTTAGCTATGTTCTAGCACTCAGGTTTTCTACATTTTAGAGAAGTAGCAAAAAAAAAAGTAGTGTTTTTTTGGGGGGAGGGGTTATGTTTCAAGGAAGGGTTTCTCTGTGGCTTTGGAGGCTGTCCTGGGACTAGTTCTTGTAGACCAGGCTGACCTTGAACTCACAGAGATCCTCCTGCCTCTGCCTCCTGAGTGCTGGGATTAAAGGCATGTGCCACCACCGCCCGTGTCAACAGTGTTTTAAAAGGACATGTGTTCACAGCCTAGCTCATCTTACTCTGTACTGTCACATAGCACAGCTGCATTCTGTGTACATGAGCTGAAAAGAAGTGGCTACATTCTCCCCATTTTCTTATATTAATTTTCATTTAATTCAGTATAGTTTTGGATTTACTGGGGTTGAGAGACAGTCCAGCAGTTATAAGCACTCGGTACTCTTCTAGAGGACCCAGGTGTGGTTCCCAGCACCCACATGGCAGGTCAGTTCCAGAGCATCTGACACCCTTTTCTGGCCTCTGTAGGCACGAGGCACACATGTGGTACATACATATGTAAACAAAACACCCATACACATAAAAAGAAGACTATTATAATGTGGGGTATGTATGTGTGTGGATGGTTCTCTCCTCCACCTTTACTTTTTGGGGGTGGGCACAGTTTTTTTGTGACAGGGTTTTATTATGTAGCCCTGGATATACTAGAACTCACTCTAGACCATGTTGCCTCTGCCTCCTAAGTGCTGTTATTGAAGGTGTGCACCGCCAATACCCATCGACCTTTTTTTTTTAAGTGTGTGTATGTTTGTGTGCATATGTGAGTGCAGGTGCCAAAGAGCATCAAATAAGCTGGAGTTAATAGGTGGTTGTAAGCCTGGGTGCTGGGAACCAAACTCAGGTCTTCTAGAAGAATAGTAAGTTCCTTTAACTACTGAGCCGTCACCCCAATCATTTTTTTTTTTGGTTTGTTTATTTATTGCTTATATGTATGGCTATTTTGCCTTTAGGTATTTTATATAGCACATACATGCCTAGTGCCTTTGGAGGTCAGAAGATGGCTATGAGCTGCTGTGTAGGTGCTGGGAATCAAACCCATGTCCTCTGCAAGAGCAACAAGTGCTCTTAACTGCTGATAACAGTGTCACTGTTGTTTTGGCTGCCCTGAACTCAGAGATCTGCTTGTCTCTGCCTCCAGAGTTCAGGGATGTCCAGCTGGAGATTACAGGTGATTGTAAGCCATGATGGTGAGCTACCATTTGGATGCTGGGAATCAAACTTGGGTCCTTTTTTGTAAGAACAACCAGTGCTCTTAACCTGCTGTAACGTCTCTAGCCCTAGAACCTGGACTTAGGTCCATAGATATAAATGAATCTTTCTAACAGTATTTTGTATCTGTGCTGCAGGCTGGCTGCTGGCTCGACAAGGTTCTGTGCTGGCATCTTAAGCACTGCTAGACATTCAAGCATTGAACAGAAGATGGCAGACTATTCAAACAAACTCTATAGTCAGTTAGAGCAAGAAACAGGGATCCAAACAGGTAAGCAGGTAATCTGCTGTTTATTGGTCTTCTTGTCTCCAAACCCTTACTTGGTAGTAGTTGCTATATGGTCCTGTACTCTGTCTGATCTGATGATTAAGACTCGTGTTTGAGAATTTGCTGCAAGCCAGGGTGTTCCTTTGGGCAGGTATGTAGCTTGCCTTCCTCTTTAGAAGAAATTATAATCAGTATCCCAGGTCATTTTCAGACTCTAACTTTTTTATTTTTATTTTTATTTTTTTTGGTGGGAGTGCTTGGGATTGAACCCAAGGCCTGCAGATCCTTTCATTATTTTCATGATGGAAATTTTGTAGGTCTTTTTTGATTGTTTTTCTTTCCGAGACAGGGTTTCTCTATTTTGTTTTGGAGACTCCTGGAACTAGCTCTGTAGACCAGGCTGGCCTCAAACTCACAGAGATCCGCCTGCTTCTGCCTCCTGAGTGCTAGGATTAAAGGCGTGCGCCACCAATGCCTAGCTTGGAGGTCATTTTAAAGATAAATTTTACTCATACAATAAATGACAGCACTTAGCTCCTAAACAAGAGAAGGTCAACTCATAAACTTCACCAATTCATATTATAAAATATAGAAATAACATTATCTGTGTAGTTCGGGGAAAGAAGACTGAATTGTAAGATAGATAGTATGAAATAGTACTGGGGACTCATGAGGAGGCCAGCTAGGGAATGTAGGGAGAATGAACTGTCTTAAGGACAGGAATGCTAATAAGCAGTATGATCCCATTTGATGACAAAGTGGGAAAAGGGACTACTAGTTGGTTCAAAATTGATGGACTATCTAGAAACTGAGTATAGTTCAGTTTTCTGGGTAATGAAATGAAATGCTGTTATTTTGTTTGCTTCTCCTCTCCTAGTTCCTGCCCTGTAGGAACATCACCAAACTGCCTGTGTGGTAACTGAGCAAGGACTTTGAAACAAACTTAGTAAAAGTAGTTCTGCCTTGTTGTCCTTCTTTTTGTTGTAATTGAATTTTCTTTTTTAATTTTTTTTTTGTTTTCTTTTGTGTTTGAGACAGGGCTTCTCTGTACAGCCCTGGCTGTCCTGGAACTCACTCTGTAGACCAGGCTGGCCTCAACCTCAGAGATCTACCTGCCTCTGCCTCTTGAGTGCTGGGATTAGAGATGTGTGCCACCACTGCCTGGTTTTAGGATTTATTTCTGTATATGTGTGTCTGCATATGTGTATGTACATGTGTATGTGTAACCTCAGAGGCCAGAGAAGAGTGTCAGATCGATCCCCTGTCTACAGGCTTTATTGGGAAGACACCTGCTTTGTGCAGGACAAGTGAGAGACTCTCTGGTTGGTTGGACTGAATCTGGTGACAACATAAGGTGCTCGAGTCAAGCATAAGAGTTTGAGTCAGATGTGGGTCTATAGAGTGGGCCTAGGGTGGAGCACTGACTCCCAGTCCACTAATTGAATTACTGGTATTTTGCTGAGCTTTGTGTTACTCAGCTGGTTAGATTTCAGGAGAATTAGAATCAGGCTTCATTTTTATAAGTTAAGCTAACCTAGGATTGGTTCTAGATCATGGTCTAGAGTCCTTACTGGCTTGTCTTTGATGCTTGTGAGGCAGCAAAGAGATGAGGAATAGTGAAGAGTTAGGTCAGGGAGTACAGGGTATTGCCTTTAACCTGCTCCTTTCCTTGTAGGTACCAGCGATGTAGTGAAAGGAAGCTTGGGAGCTTCAGTGGTTGAGAGTCAGAGTGTACATGGGCTGGTGAGGTGGCTCCGTGGGTAAAATGCTCACTGCCAGACCTGAAACCTGAGTTCAAAACCTGAGACCCACATGGTGGAAAGAGAGAATTGACTCCCACAGTTAATTGTCTTCTTGACTGCCACCCAAAAGTGCTGTGGCACACATAAGCTCCCTGTCAAATAAACAAATAAAAATGTAGTAATTTTTAGAAAGGCAGAGCAGTGTTTGTGTGTAAACACCGTGTTGCTGTTTTTTTAATTTTTATTTTTCTGTTGTTTGTGTTTATGATGTGCCTGTGTGTATACAGAGGTCAGAGGAACCTTCTATCTGTTGAGGCAGGGCGTCTTGTTTGTGCTACTGTGCATAATCCAGGTTAGCTAGTTCACCAGCTTCTGGGCAGTTCTCCTGAATTCAACTTTTTGTGGGCTCCAGGAATTTAACTTAGGTTACCAGGCTAACATGACAGGCACTTTTACAACCACTGAAGCATCTTGCCAGCCCTTGGTCTGTTTTGTTAGTCAAGTTGAAGACGTGTATAGTCCAAATTTAGTGAGAAGAATACGACCTTGAACCCCTGATCTCTTGCCTCCTCCCACGTTAGAAATAATGTGCCATTCACAACCACAGTCTTTCCGTTGTCATATGACAGAATTTTATCAAGTAAATGGAATCAATATGACTAAAAGCTAGTAGTTTTTTTTTGGGTAAGGATCTAGATTAGTGGTAGAGTCTTTACTTAGCATATGGGAAGCCCTGAGTTTGATTCCTAGCAATGAAGAAAATAGAAATTAAAACTAATAGTTTCTACTGAGTGATGTAAGATGACTGAGTAAAGTAATTGCTGCCAAGTCTGATGACCTGAGTCCAGTTCCTGGGTCCTCCATGGTAGGAGAGAATCAAACTCAGAGCTCCATGTGTAGACTATGTGGGCATCTACACTAAATAGATAAATATATTTAAGATTTATTTGCTTGCTTGTTTAATTTTGGCCAAGCTGTCCTTGGCCACCCTGGAACTTGCTCTGTAGATCTGGCTGGCCTCAAACTCATGGCGATGTGCGATGCACCTGCCTCTGCCTCCCAAGTGCTGGAATTAAAGGCGTGCACCACCACTACCCAGATAAAGACTTATTTTCCTTTTTAAAAATTACGCATATTGGGCTGGAGAGATAGCTCAGAGGTTAAGAGCCCTGACTGCTCTTCCAGGGGTCCTGAGTTCAATTCCCAGCAACCACACGGTGACCCACAACCATCTACAATTCAATCTGGTGCTGTCTTCTGGCGTGTAGACAGAACACTGTGTATGTGATAAAAATTATGCACATTTATGTATCTCTGTTTAGCTATTTGCATATGAGTGCAGGTGCCCACAGGGGAAAGAACAGTTGGATCCTCCTAGAGCTGGAGTTGTAGGAGGTTGTGAGCCAAGGTTGTGAGGTGCTAAGAATTGAACTCATCCTCTGAAGAGAGAAGTATGTGTTTCTAACTGTAGCCATCTCTCCAGCCCTAAGTAAATATATTTAAAGCCACTATCTGCTGATTTTTGCAAAATAGAAATACAGAAAAATAAAATTACTGAGATTGGTAGGTGTAAAGCAGGATACAGGTGTTGCAATCAGGAAGGGTAGTGACATTTCTAAGTCTTACTTTCTACTATTTTGGCTTTAAAAATCTTATATAGCTGTGAGTAGTGACACACGCCTTTAGTCCTAGTACTCGGGAGGCAGAGGCAGGTGGATCTCCGTGAGTTTAAGGCCAGCCTGGTCTACATAGTGAGTTCTAACATAATGAGATCCAACATAATGAGACTCTGTCTTGGGTGGTGGCGCATGCCTTTAATCCCAGCACTTGGGAGGTGGGGGCAGAGGCAGGCGGATCTCTGTGAGTTCGAGACCAGTCTACAAGAGCTAGTTCCAGGACAAGCCTCCAAAGCCACAGAGAAACCCTGTCTCGAAAAAACAAAAACAAAAACAAAAAGAAAAAAAAACAGAGAGAGAGAGAGAGAGAGAGAGAGAGAGAGAGACTCTGTCTTGAAAACAGACAGAATCATATATTTATTTTAAAGATTAATTTTTGTTTTATGCGTATGTCCTAGTTACTGTTCTATTGCTGTGAGGACACACCATGACCAAGGCTATTTATAAAATAAAGTGTTTAATTGTGGGCTTGCTTACAGTTCAGAGGGTTAGAGTCCATGCATGATCATCATGCAGGAAGCATAGGGGAAGGCAGGCATAGTACTGGAACAGTAGCTAAGAGCTTACATCTGATCTGAAAGATGGAGGCAGAGAGAGTTTGAGACTGCGTCTGCTGTGGACTCTTTTAAAACCTCAGAGCCCGGGGCTGGAGAGATAGTTCAGAGGTTAAGAGCACTGACTGCTCTTCCAGAGGTCCTGAGTTCAATTCCCAGCAACCACATGGTGACTTGCAACTATCTGTAATGACTATAATTCAATCTGGTGCCCTCTTCTGGCGTGTAGGCAGAACACTGTATATGTAATAATAAATAAATCTTAAAAAAAAAAAAAAAAGAAACCTCAAAGCCCACCCCTAGTAACACGCTTCCTCCTACAAGACCACACTTCCTCATCTTTCCTAAACAGTCTATCACCTGGGAACCAAAAATTCAACTATATGAGCCTATGGGGACCATTCTCATTGAAATCACCACATTGTATGAGTATTTTGCCGGGTGTATGTGTACACGTATGTGTGTGTGCCTGGTGCCTGTGGAGACCAAAAGAGGATTTGGATCTCTCAGAACTGGAGTAAGGGTGGTTGTAAGGCGACATGTGGCCGGCCTCTTAGAACTGACCGTGGGTCCTCTGCAAGAGTATCAAGGGCTCTAAACTGCTGAGCTATCTTTCCAGCCCCACCTTTTGGAATCATTTTCACATTTGTATATTCAGATACAACATCTTTTTTTTTTTGAGAAGTTTTATTAGAAAGGGGAGAGAGAGGGAAGGAAAGAGAAAAGAGGTAAAGAGACACAGAGAGGGAAAACAGAAAAGAGGGAGACAGGAGCAGAAAGAGAGGAGAGCAGAGAGAGAGAAGAGATGGAAAGAGCAGTGGGAGGAGAGAACAGCTGGGAAGAGAGCAGGAAGAGAGGATGGGAAGAGCCCAACAGTATTTCAAGTGACTAACTATCACACTAAAGTAAGGTAAAAGAATTAGCCTAGGGAGCTTTCGATCATGGAATAATTTTTATTTCTTGTGTTTTAAGCCAGAGTCTTGCTATGCTGCTCTGGCTGCACTTGAACTCCTAGGCTCCAGGGACCTTCTTATTATAGCAGTTTCTTGTGTATCTGAGACTATAGTTGCCTCACATTATTCTCATGTTGACCAGGGTGTTTAAACTGTTTCCTCTTAGTCCAAAGACAGATACATTTAGCACAAATTGAAGTAAATTTGTTTCCTGAGGTGATGTGGATAGTTCTGTGTTTTCTATTTATCCTGAGATTCAGCAAATGAGTAATATATGACAGCAACTGGAGAATAAATAAAATAAGGCTAAAGAGAAGCAGGCTTCTCAGTGTTGGAGGAGAGCATATTATTGTTGCTGGTGACAAAATGTCTGACAAAAGCAACTTTAGGGGTTTATTTTAGCTTATGTTTGAGGGTGTAGACCACCTTAGTGGAGAAGGCATGGTGGAAGGAGCAGGAGGCGACTTGTCAGCTTGTGTCCAGTTAAGTAACAGATGAACGCTGCTGCTGTCTTCCATCTGGAACCCAGCCCGTGGGATGGTGCTTCCACATTCAGGGTTAACCCTTCCTGGAAATGCCCTCTAGACATGCCCAGATGTTTGTTTTCTAGGAAATTCTAAATCCTGTCGGTAGACAGTCAAGATTAACTACTAGGTTAAAATCCTGAAAGAAGCTGTAGCTCATGCTTGTGATCTCGGTATTTGGGAGGCTATAGCATTAATGAATATTGCCACGAATTCCAGAACAGTCTGGATTAAAGAGTTAGGCTCCATCTTAAAAAAACAGAACGGGCTGGAGAGTGATAGCTCAGTGGTAAGAGCATGTACTGTTCTTGAAAATTTTTTTTTCCAGACAGGGTTTCTCTGTATTGTTTTGGAGCCTGTTCTGGCACTTATTCTGTAGACCAGGCTGGCCTCAAACTCACAAAAATCCTCCTACCTCTGCTTCCCGAGTGCTGGGATTAAAGGTGTGTACCACCAATGCCCTGCTTCTGAACTGAATTCTTAACATCCACACCAGGAAGCTTGTAATTGCCTCTAAGTCTGACTCTAGGGAATCCAATACTCACTTCTGGCCTTTATAAGCACAGTGTTCACCTTTACAAACACAGACACATAATTTAAAAATAAATAAATGGCTGGGCAGTTGTGGCCTAGTACTTGGGAGGCAGAGGCCAGTCTGGTCTACAGAGTTCCAGGACAGCCAGGGCTACGCAGAGAAACCCTGTCTCAAAAAACAAAACAAAAGAATAATTGAATAAAATCTTTAAAAAAATAAACAAACTGAGCTAGGGACATAGCTCACATCATATAATGTGCTTGCCTCTCATTCATGAAGCCCTGGATTTGATTCTCAGCACTGCATAAAACTAGGTATGATGATACAAACGTATAAATTCAGTACTTAAGAGGTAGAGGTAGGAGAATCAGGAATTCAGAGACAGCCTGGAATGCTTGAAATCTTTCTAAAATGAGACACACACGCACGCACGCACGCACGCACACACACACACACACACACACACACACACACACACACACACACACACACACACCACACACAGAGGGAGAGGAGAGAGAGGAGGGAGAGCGAGTGAGCACGAATGCTGGTGAAATGGCTTAGTAGGTAAAACTTGTTGCCATGCAAGACTGACAGCCTGAGTTCAACTCCCTGAACCTGTATTGGAAGGAGAGAACAAACCCTTAAGAAGGTTGTCCTCTAACCCCCACATGCATGCTGTGGCACCTGTGTTTATCTACTCATATACATCATGTACACACATTAACAGTAAATTTTTTGGCCGGGCGGTGGTGGCGCACGCCTTTATCCAGCACTCGAGAGGCAGAGGCAGGCGGATCTCTGTGAGTTCGAGGCTGGGCTGGACCGACAGCCTCGAAAACAATACAGAGAAACCCTGTCTCGTAAAAACCAAAACAGTAAATTTTTTGGTTTTTTAGCCTGGGTGGAACGAACTTGCTGTGTAGACCATGCTGACCTCAAACTCACAGAGACCCATCCACCTGCCTCTCCTTCCAGGTGCTAGGATTAAAGGCATGCGCTATCAGGCTCAACTATACAAATTTTATTTGTTTGTTTTTGTTTTTTGAGACAGGGTTTCTCTGTGTAGCTTTGGAGCTTGTCCTGGAACTCACTCTGTAGACCAGAGCGGCCTGTAGACCCTTCCTCGGCCTCTTGAGTTCTGGGATTAAGAGGTGTGTGCCACCACTGTCAAGCAAAAAAAAAAGTTTAAGAGGAAAAAAAGGGGGCCTGGAGAGATAACTCAGAGGTTAAGAGCACTGGCTGCTCTTCAAGAGATCCTGAGTTCAATTCCCAGCAACCACATAGTGGCTCACAACTACCTGTAATGAGATCTGGTGCCCTCTTCTTGCCTGCAGGCAGAACACTGCGTACATAATGAATAAGCAAATCTTTAAAATGTACTTTGAAGTCATACTAAAGAAAGAAAAGGAAAAAATGAATATGGAAGGAGGTGAACTAGAGAGATGGCATTGGGTCTTGGTTTCAGAAGACCTTCTCACCCAAGAGGAATCACAGCTTAGTAAATAACTTAATTCCAGGAAACTTACAGCTCTAGACAGCCTAGCAGGCCAGGACATAGAGAAGAGGAATAAACTATTTAGTAGAACATTACTACCTCTGCAGGACATGAGAGTCTTGCAGTTAGTCACCCACTTGTTCAAGACTGAATGTCCTAAGAATGTTCACTTGGATGTTTTTAGGTTACAGCTTATTTGGCTGTACTGGGGAAGGAGTGGGGATCTGACTGTTTGGTGACTAGTGTTATAAATGGCTTTTACCAAAAGCATGTACCCCCACCAAGATTGAAAGGGAAAGAAGTAAAATATCTAAAAGGAGTGAAGAGTTCTTGCCCTAGTAAGAGTTTTAGCCTTACTATTATGAGTGCTTTTTAAAAATGGTTTATTTTTATTTTATGTGCATTGGTGCCCCACCTGCACGTTTGTCTGTGTGAGGGTGTCACATCTTGGAGTCAGAGACAATTGTGAGCTGTCATGTGGGTTCTGGGAATTGAACCTAGGTCCTCTGCAAGAGCAGTCCCAACTGTTGAGCCATCTCGTCAGCCCATGAATGCTTTTATATGTTAGAATTCTAGTTGACCCTCACAAAACTGTGTGTGGTGTGTTTTGAGTTTTGCTAGAAGCCCAAATTTACTCAAGGATAGTGAGTGGAAGCCCTATGAGTCACAATAGGTCTAACGTATAAATCTAGTGGATCCCTCTGGACTGCTCACTTAATTGACTTTTCTTACAGGTTACTTAAGGACAGGCTCAATCTCTCTGGCTCAAACTCAGGACCGGTTGATCTCTCTGAAGCGTATCAACTCAAGGCTGAAGTATGTAAGAGATTAGACACCCCTCCTGACTTTACCCACTTGACCTCTGCCAGAGAGCCCATTATTGTGGTTGTCCCCTTGTGTTATGTGGCAGTGTTGTAGGTATCCCTTCTGAGATCATCTCCCCGAAGAAAGTGGCTGAACTTCACCCTCTCCTCAATGTGCACGATCTGGTGGGGGCCATGCATGTTCCCGAAGATGCTGTAGTGTCCTCTGCTGATGTGGCTCTCGCCCTGGCAAGTGCTGCCTCCCAGAATGGTGAGTGGGTTTTTGTGGGATTATTTGTTTGTTTTATATTTGTTATTTTTTGCATGGGTTTGGGAAGAAGAGGTTATCTAAGAGAGTGTATTATGGTAGGGTAACAACAGCAGCTCAGATATGGAGAAAGTATCTTCAGTTTTGACCACTACATTGTGTTTTTCAGTTGCTCTGTTTAATTTTTTCCTCAGAGTCAATCTTTGTTGTTGTTATTGTTTTGTTCTAAGGAACTATTTGTGCTGATTAAAACACAACAGACTTAGGAAAGTCCCTGCCCCTGAACTTGAGAAGTGCCAAGGCTAGAGAAAAATTTGAGAGTTTAACATATAGCTTAAATGTGGTCCAGAGTAAATTAGAGAAAGACTTATTAGTGTCCTCAGTGTTACATAGACTTTATGATTCATTATAGTGCTGGGGATTGAACCCAGGGCTTTGGGCATGCCAGGCAGGTGTTCACTACAAGTTGTATGCCTTGCCTTTGATTTTTTTTTTTTTAAAGCTAGTGTTTCACTATTAGCTCAGGCTGACCTGGAACTTGACATGTCTCCAAATCTCAGACTCCTAAGTGTTGGAATTACAGGTGTAGTCTCTATATTGTGCTGAGGTCTTTTTGTTTGTTTTGTTTTGTTGAGACAAGGTTTCTCTATGTAGCTTTGGAGCCCTCAGACTCACAGAGATCCTCCTGCCTCTGTCTCCCCAGAGGTGGGATTAAAGGTGTGAGCCACCACCACCCAGCTATGGTTTTGTTATTAAGTTAAAGCACTGACCCAGTTTCTCCAGTGTCTCTTTGGAGTAAAAAATCTGTTTCAGAGACCTTAATTCTGTAACGTCAAATAATTACCTTCTTTTTTTTTTTTTTCCTCCTCCAAGACAGGGTTTCTCTGTGTAGTCCTGGCTGTCCTGGAACTCACTTTGTGGACCAGGCTGGCATTGAACTCAGAGGTCTGCCTGCCTCTGCCTCCCTGTACTGGGATTAAAGGTGTGTGCCACCAGTGCCCACTAATAACTTGCTGTCCTTTTCTTTATTTTGGTACAGGTGTTCAGATTTATGACAAGACAAGTGTTCTTCATGTATTGACCAAAAAAGGTCAAGTTACTGGAGTGGAGACAGATAAAGGGCAGATTGAATGCCAGTATTTTGTCAACTGTGCTGGTCAGGTAGGTTGGTCACAGTACTAGGTTTCTGACTTTAATTAATTTGGACTGTTTGGTGCCGAGATATAAGATTATTATTTTACTGATTAAGGAGACCAGGTACTGCACTGCTTATTTGTACCAGGTAATCCAGAATTGTATTCTAAACCAGAAACCTATACTTAGTTCTCAGATACAGACAGCTTTCCACACTGGGTAAAGTTGTGCCATCCTGGTCAGAAGGCCACCAAATAGGCAGCAACATAAATCCATGATTTTAGAGCTAAATTTATGTAATGTTACATTTCATTTACAAACTCAAGTATAACATCAGAACCATGGGTCCAATTTCTAGAATGTAAGTTGCGTCTTCTGAGGCAGATTGGTCACTTGCTCTCTACTTTACGTCTAAAGGAGATGTAGGAAATACTTCCTGTTGTATAAAGTTCATTTAATAATTGGCATTTGGAGTTTCTAGTTGATACCAGGCATTTTATTTATAGGGCCTCTTTTGGCTGGGAAATCCATCTTCTTTTCATTGAAAAGATGATTTTATGCTTAAAAAAGTATAGTGTTGCTCCCTGTTCAAACACTTGAACTAGATAAAGCAAGCTGAACTTGACTTCCCGTATCTGACACTGTAACAGGAGCACTCAGGAGCCACTTGAAATTAATTCAAGAGGCTGAACTTGCTCACCTGTGTTTCTGTTCCTCTCCTACCCACAAATTGTCCATTGTAGTGGGCATACGAGCTGGGTCTGTCCAACGAGGAGCCCGTCAGTATCCCGCTGCATGCCTGTGAGCACTTCTACCTTCTGACTCGTCCCCGGGAAACCCCTCTGCAGAGCAACACACCAAGTGAGGACTTGTCCTTTTTTTTTTTTTTTTTTTTTTAAATAATTTTATCTCCTTCCTGGTATCCTGTCCTTTGAAAGGAAGACTTTTCATTAAGGACACATTATGCCTAGAGGAATTTTTTTTCTTTTCTGGAGCATGTTACAGGGAGGTGGTTCCAATTCTAACTTTTCTACTATTACTTCTTAGGAAAAGATGGCCCAAACGAACATGCCCTTAAGCAGTTTTTTGTTGTTTGTTTTTGTTGTTGTTGTTTTACAAGCTAATTTTAAACCCCCATAGAGGTTATTGAGAATTAGGAATATAACTTTTGCATTTTTTTTTTTTTTTGGTTTTTCGAGACAGGGTTTCTCAACTTTTGCATTTTTGTGTGGTATCAGTTGTAGAAGTGAATAGGTAGAGCCAGGTGGTGGGTGCGCACGCCTTTAATCCCAGCACTCAGGAGGCAGAGGCAGGCAGATCTCTGCATTTGAGGCCAGCCTGGTCTACAGAGTGAGTTCCAGGACAGCCAGAAAAACCCTGTCTCGAAAAATCAAAAATAAGGAAACAAATAAATAAAAGAAGAAATGCATAGGTAGGCCTATTTTGTTTTGTTTTTGTTTTTCTGAGACAGGGTTTCTCTATGTAGTTCTGGGTGTCCTGGAACTCCCTGGGTCGACCAAGCTGGCCTCAAACTGAGAGATTCCCCTGCCTCCTGAGTGCTGGGATTAAAGGCATATGCCAGCACTGCCCAGCTCTCCTTTATTTTTTGAGACAGGGCCTCATTGTATAGTCCTGGCTGACCTGGAACTCACCTTTGTGGGCATGGAGGCAGAGACAGGCATGCTAGTTTAGAAGGCTTTTGATACCACTTCAGAGAACGAACTCTGCACTTCCCTTTCCTGTTAGACTTTGACTAGGCACAGTGGTGGTAATATAGTTTGGTTGTGAGGTGTTGACAAAATGTTTAGATTTCCAGTAATGTTTGGGATAATCAGAGAAGCCATCATCTTGGTAATCCTGAGTGGGAAGAGCCTCCCTCATGACCTCTAGTGGTCATTTTTTTTTTTTGGGTTTTCGAGACAGGGTTTCTCTGTATTGTTTTGGAGGCTATCGGTCCAGCCCAGCCTCACAGAGATCCGCCTGTCTCTGCCTCCCGAGTGCTGGGATTATAGGCGTGCGCCACCACCGCCCAGCTTCTAGTGGTCATTTTTCAAAAATAATTTATTTTTATTTTATTTTATTAGCATTGATCAGTGTTTTGCCTGAATGTATGTCTGTATGATGTGTCAGATCCTTTGGAATTGGACAGTTGTGAGCTGCCATGTGGGTGCTGGTAATTGAACCCTGGTCGTCTGGAAGAACAGCCAATATTCTTAACTACTGAGCCATCTCTCTAGCCCCCCTCCAATGGTATTTTAAAACTAACGGATAACTAAATTTATTGGATGCTGTACGTTGGTAAAGCCTTTCCTGAGTGTTTTCTTTTTTCTCCATCCAGGAATCTGGCTGGTCTCTAACCCCTTGTTTTTCTCTTCACTCTACTTCCTTGTCTTCTCTCTTCTTCAGCTATTGTGGATGCTGATGGAAGAATTTACATTAGGAACTGGCAGGGTGGCATCTTGTCTGGAGGCTTTGAGAAAAACCCAAAACCTATTTTTACTGAGGGCAAGAACCAGTTGGAAATTCAGAACCTAAGGGAAGATTGGGATCACTTTGGTATGTGAAGTAAATTATAACAACAGTGCCTTCTACTTTTCTAAGATGTTATATTTTTCAAGGCATTTTCATGAGTAATCTTTAAGACAACTCCAGGAAGCACAATAGTAATCATGAAGAATAGTCTAGACTTTGCCTGATCTAAGGATATGGTTACTGGTTAGATTCAGGGGTCTACAGTCTTGTTTAATGAACTTGACTCATTTATTTAAATCACTGCTGATGCTTTAGACTAGAAAGGGGTCTTCTTTTGGTAAGATTTATATGAAATTGAAGAATTTCTAAAGAGCTGAACTATTAGCCAGGCATGGTGATGCCTGCTTGTAATCCCAGCATGTGGGAGGCTGAGGTAGGAGGATTTGTGAAAGTAGATTTTTTTTGCTAATATGGTCTTTATTAAGTTTTTAAGTAACTTTAATTGCCTTTATTGAATGATTACTTTAGTTCATGGTTATAAATGGAAAGGGTATGAAAGGCTACTCATCTCTCATCATTGATGAACTTTTTAAAAAATTAAGCTGCTGTTTATGGGAAACTTTAAACCCTTGTGCCCATCAGCCATTACTCCCGTTTCCATCCATTACTGCTATCCCATGGGACAGTGGTCAGAGAGAGTATAGCACAAGGTGCAAACCTGTTTTTACATCTGCCTCAGTGTAGGAAGTGCTGTCTTTCATGGAAACATTAGGTGGTCTTTAAGACCTTTTCCGTACATCCTGACCCCTTCAGGATTATTGCCTGTAGCCTCATGTATTTCTTTGTGTTCTGTAGCTCCTTATCTTTGAAGGGTATGATTTTTCTTACTCTGAATGCCAGGCATTTTGTAGATGTATTGAGTAATTCTACCAAGTTTTCTTCTTTCTGATAACTGACCAAATGACTCTTAGAAAAATCTTCCTTAAAGGATTTTTGGAAGGAGAAGTAAAAAGTGTAAGAAGTTGAAAAGCTTGAATTCCCCCAAGGTGAGGATTCTGTTTGGGTTTGTTTTGATTACTCAGAGCCCCTGCTGAGTTCCCTCCTGCGTAGGATGCCAGTGTTGGAGACTCTGGAGATTTTGAAGTTGGTGAATTGCCCTGAGACCTTCACCCCAGACATGAAGTGCATCATGGGCGAGTCTCCTGTAGTACAGGGCTACTTTGTCCTGGCAGGGATGAACTCTGCTGGCCTGTCGTTGGGTGGAGGAGCTGGAAAGTAAGTCTTTTTCCATAGAGTCACCTGTGGACACCTCAGCTTGCCAGGTTCTTCCCTTTCAGATTACTCATTGTTTATATATTCTGTGACCAGATTGTAATGTTAATAATAATAAATATTTTAGGGTTATTCAAAGTAATTTTTTGGGAGGCTTTCCTCATATTCTATAAATGTTACTACATAAAATACTGGGAACTCGTTCCTTTAGTCACAGAACCTATGGATTTTTACTTTTATTTTTTAACTTTTCAGTTGTAACACATGTTAGTGTTTTGATTGTAAAAGGTTAGAAGTAGCTGACTATGGTAAGTGAAATAGGCAGTCAAGCTAGGCAATTAAAATTTTAGTTTAAAAACAGGTACTTATAAAAATCAGATGGGGATGGGTGCCACATGTCTTTAATCCAAGCTGAAGAGGCAGAGGTCAGTCTGGTCCATGAAGAGAGTTCCAGGCCAGCTAGGTCTACATGGTGAGACCCCTGTTTAAAAAATAAAAAAATAAGCCAGTCACAGAAGGAGTAGTGATAGAAACAAAGTATTTTAGGGAAAGAGAAGATGGGGACTTACTGTTAAAAAGGTCTCGTGTTTCAACTCTGCAAGGTGAAATGAGTCTAGACATGGATTGTGGTAGTGGTTATATAATAGTGTAGAGGTGCTTGATTCCACTGATCCACACACTTAAAATGGTTGGTTGGTTGTCCTTGCTGTAAGCCTACAATCCCAGCCCTTGGGAGGTAAAGGCAGGAGAATCAGGAGTTCAAGACCATCCTCAGCAGCATAGGAGACCTTATTCTCAGGTTTTAAAACAGTTGATCGTCTAAACATGGTGACACATATTTGTCATCTTAGCTCTTAGGAGACTGAGGGAGTGCAGTGAGTTTGAGGCCAGCCTGGACTACATAGTAATTTCCATTCACCCTGGGTAAAGAGTGAGAAACCAGGGCCAAGCTTGGTGGCACACGCCTTTGATCCCAGCACTCGGACTCGGGAGGCAGAGGCAGGAAGATCTCTGAGTTTGAGGCCAGTCTGGTCTACAGAGTGAGTGCCAGGACATCCTCCAAAGCCACAGAGAAACCCTGTCTCAAAAAACAAAACAAAACAAAAAAAAAAAAAAAGAAAAATTAAATCATGAAGTCAGTATACCAAATAAATGGCTCTAAGAACAGAAGTTACTGGAAACTTTTGAAGCAAAGATGTGGTGAGAGGACTGGAGAGATGGCTCAGAAGTTAAGAGCACTGGATGCTCTTCAGAGGTCCTGAGTTCAATTCCCAGCAACCACATGGTGGCTCACAACCATCTGTAATGAGATCTGGTGCCCTCTTCTGGCCTGCAGGCAGAAATGCATGCAGAATACTATATACATAATAAATCTTAAAAAAAAAAAAGATGTGGTGAGATAGCTATATAATACTCTCCAAGTGACTGTTTAGACAAAACAACGGTAAATTTCCTCATAGATATGGCTTGTATTATAAACAGGCACTAGGAGCCTGTTATTAGATTAAAAACCTTCATAGTGAGGCTAGAGAGGTGGCTCAGCAGTTAAGAGTGCACCTCTTCCAAAGGACCCAGGCTTCAATTCCGGTACCTTCATGGTAGCTCACACCCATCTGTTATTCCAGTCCCAGCAGATCCCGTGATCTCTTCTGTCCTCTGCAAGCGCCAGGGTTTTTTTTGTTTGTTTGGTAGGGTTTTTTTGGGTACACACGTTTATATTCAGGCAAAACACCCATACACACAAATTAAAAAAAAAACCCTCAAAAGATGGATGGGGTGTCACTCGCGTGTAATCCCAGCACTTTCAAAGCAGAAGTAGGCAGATTTCTGTGGGTCTGAGGTTAGCCTGGTCTACATAGTGAGTTCCAGGACAGCCAAGGCTGTGTATAGAGACCCTGACTCAAAAAAAAATCTTCATAATGGTTCTATGAGAACAATACTTGGATCCATGTTTGTTCATTTTAGAAATTGTTAAGTAAATTGCCCAGAATTGCTCAACTTCTGACAACATAGACTCTTGATTCCATTGGTTCTTTTTTGTTTTTTAAATTTATTTTATGTGCATTGGTGTCTTGCCTGCATGGATGTCTGTGTGAGGGTGTTGGGTCCTCTGGAACTGGAGTTAGAGACAGGTGTGAGCTGCCATATGAGTGCTGGGAATTGCACCTGGGTCCTCTGGAAGAGCAGCCATTGTTCTTAACTGATGAACCATCTTTCCAGCTCAGTTCCATTGGTTCTTGATTTGTATATTATTTGAATTGTTCTCCGTATTATCTGAGGCTCAACAGCTTTTTGTCTCCATTTAAACAGGTTCCTTGCTGAATGGATGGTATATGGTTATCCCACTGAAAATGTCTGGGAATTGGATTTGCAGCGCTTTGGAGCCCTCCAGAGCAGCCGCACCTTTCTGCGTCACCGGGTCATGGAAGTCATGCGTAAGTGTGTCTTTATTCTAATTGCATTGCATTCAGTGGCCTATTTTACCATTCAAGGTTTCCCCTTAGCTCTCTAATAACTACATTGAATTGGTTTTCTCATGTGGTTATTTCAGGTCTGAGGATAGGACTTATGCCACATCTGGCACTTAGGAACATTTTTGATATATTGGGCCGTACTTACCTCTAGGAATAGGAAAGTAGAGTAGGACTTGCATCTCGTATGTAACAGCGTCCTGTGTGTTGCTAGCAAAACATCCTTTTCAGTTGGCCTGGAGTACTGCCTCTACTTTCCTCCTAGGTTTGGAGATCATTGGTAGTTTTTGTTATCTTGAGATGGAGTCTCATAGAATCCAGGCTTTCTTTAACTTGCTATATTGGTGAAGCTGGCCTTGAACTCCTAACCTTCCTGCCTCTATTTCCTAAGTGCTAGGATTAGAGATGTGTGCAGCATTCCCTGACTTTTGTCTTTGTTTTTTTCTTTTTGTGGTGCAGAGGTTTAAGGACCTCTTGCATGTTAGTAGGCAAGTTCTCTGTCACATCTAGAATACCCATTATTTTCTTTCTTTCTGAAAATTTATTAACATGTATTTATGTGTCTGGTATGTGTGGGGTACATGTGGGGGAGCAGGTGTGGGGGTCAGAGGACAACTTTGTAGAGTTGATTTTTCCTTCCTTCTGGAAGACTAGTTAGTGTTCTTATACTGATCCATCTCTCCAGCTCCAAAAATAAAGTCTTTTTTAAAAATTTTATTTTAAGCCAGGCGGTGGTGGCGCACGCCTTTAATCCCAGCACTCGGGAGGCAGAGGCAGGCGGATCTCAGTGAGTTCGAGGCTGGGCTGGACCGATAGCGTCCAAAACAATACAGAGAAACCCTGTCTCGAAAAACCAAAAAAAATTTTTTTTATTTTAGTATTATTTTATTATTATTATTTTTTTGTTTTTTTAAGACAGTGTTTCTTTGTGTAGCTTTGGAGCCTGTACTGAAACTCTGTAGACCAGGCTGACCTCGAACTCACAGAGATCCGCTTTCCTCTGCCTCCCCAGTGCTGGGACTAAAGGCGTGCGCCACCACTGCCAGGCTCAAAAATAAAATCTTAAAGGCAAAAAGCCAACTGGTGGTGCATGTCTTTAATTCCAGCATAGGAGGCAGAGGCAGGTGGATCTATCTGAGTTCAAAGCCAACCAGGTCTACAGATCAAGTTCCAGGACTAACTGGAACTTAGCCAAGGCTAAACAGAAAAACCTTTTCTTGAGAAGCAGAATGAAACAAAAAACAAAAACAAACAAAAAAATCACCTATGTTCCCTTTGGATATAGCCTTCATCTGTGCTTTGAAGTTTAGCAAGGTTTAGACTCATGACCTTTCTCCCATTGTTTCTTCCTACTAATTTGGAACTAAAAATGTAAACAGATATAAAATTGCTTGCTAGTGTTTTAAAGAAAGTTTACAGGCTGGTGTTTATAGGCCAGTGTTTACACATTGTTCTTCTGAACTAGTCATGTTCCACTGGGTGGTATTGACAATTGAGCTATATTTCCCTGCAAATTATGCTCTTTTGATTTTTTAAATTATCTAAATATCTTATTTGTATGGGTACTCTGCCTGTGTATATGCCTGTGCATCACTTTCATTCCTGGTACTTGTGGAGGCCAGAAGATGGTATCAGTCCCTGGACCTGGAGGAAAGGACAATTGTAAGCCATCATGTGGGTGATGGAAAATGAACCCAGGTCCTCTAGAAGGGCAACCAGTGCTCAAAATTGCTAAGAAGTCATTTCAACCCTCACCCCACCTTTTTTTAAGGTATGGAAACTGAACCACAGAGCCTCATGCATGCTAGGCAAGTGTATATCTGCCTCAGTCCTTTGTTTAGTTTTTACTTTGAGACAGGGTCTTGCTAAGTTGCTGCCCTAATTACTTTTTGCTGTGAAAAGACACCATGACCAAGGTAACTTATAAAAGAAAGCATTTAACTGGGAGCTTGTGGACAGTTTCAGAGAGCGAGTCCATGACCATTCATGACCATTATGGTTCAGAGCATGGCAGCAGACAGGATTGTTACTAGAGCAGTAACTGAGAGCTTATTTTATCTGCAAGTTGGAGGCAGAGAGAGGGGCACGGGGCCTAGTGTGGGCTTTGAAACTTCAAAAAGCACCCCAGTGACATACCTCCTAATCCTTCCCAAAACTGTTCCACCAGCTTGGGGACCTAACATTAAAATACATGAGCCTATGCGAGCCATTCTAGTTCAGGCCACCACACATTGCCCTGGCTTGGCTTGGCTTGGCTGGAATCCATTTGGTAGCCCAGGTCATCCTTGAATTTGAAGTCCTTCTACTTTAACCACTCAGGTCTTTGAGATTGTAGGCCTGTGCTGCTAGACCCAGCTGACAGACTATGTTTATTCCATTCTAGCTCTGATGTATGATCTGAAGGTTCCCCGATGGGACTTCCAGACTGGGAGACAGTTACGTACATCTCCTCTTTATGACCGGCTGGATGCTCAAGGAGCCAGATGGATGGAGAAACATGGATTTGAGAGGCCAAAGTACTTTGTTCCCCCCAATAAAGGTAAGAAGTGTCTGTTTGTCTCTCTCTTTTTTTTCCCCTTCTTTTTTCAAGACAGGGTTTCTCTGTATTGCTTTGGAGCCTGTCCTGGAACTCACTCTGTAGATCAGGCTGGCCTTAAACTCAGAGATCTACCTGCCTCTGCCTCCCAAGTGGTGGGACTAAAGGTGTGTGCCACCAACACCTGGCATGTCTGTCTCTTCTTTTTGAGATGGAATTTCACATTTTAACCTAGAATGGTTTATTTCAGGTTGGCTTTGAATCACACCTCTTATTTCAGCATCGTAAGTGTTGGGGTTATAGGTATAAGCCACCACGCTGGGCTTTGTGTGTGTGTGTGTGTGTGTGTGTGTGTGTGTGTGTGTGTGTGTGTGTGTGTGTTGGGGACTCAAATTCAAGTTCTCATGCTTGCATAGGCACTTTAACTACCAAGCCAATTCTTAAAACTGGTAATTAGTAAGTACATATAACTAGGATGTATTCCTGGAAGAATTAAAAATAAAATCTTGTAGGCTATAACAAAATATACAGGGGACTCTTTAGTGTCAAAACCCTTCCTTCCTACCTTGCTTTTTCTGTTTCATAGACCTTCTTGCATTGGAGCAGAGCAAGACTTTCTACAAGCCAGATTGGTTTGATATTGTGGAGTCTGAAGTCAAGTGCTGTAAGGAAGCTGTGTGTGTCATTGACATGTCTTCTTTCACAAAGTTTGAAATAACTGTAAGTATTTGGGAACCAAAACAGCAGGGTGAGAAACATTTTCTACTTATTGAATACTTGTCTTTCTTTTCTTCTTTCTTTCACTTATTTTTCATGATGTTTTTAAATTTTATGTGTATGGTTATTTTGTATGAATGTATGCCTGCACACTGTGTGCATGTAATGCCCGAGAACACCAGAAGAGGGCACTGGAGTCCCCGGGGATTGGAGTTACAGATAGCTGTGAGCTGTTAAATGGGTGCTGGGAAGTGACCCAGGTCCTTTGGAAAAACAGCCAGTACTCTTAACCACCAAGCCGTCTCTCCAGCCTCTAAGTGCCTTGTATAGGGGGAGGGGCAGGGTTTCTCTGTGTAGTCCTGATTGTCCTGGAACTTGCTCTGTAGACCAGGCTGGCCTCCCACTCCCAGATCTGCCTGCCTCTGCCTCCCGAGTGCTGGGATTGGATTAAAAATCCCAGCACTCGGGAGGCAGAGGCAGGCGGATCTCTGTGAGTTCGAGGCTGGGCTGGACCGATAGCCTCCAAAACAATACAGAGAAACCCTGTCTCGTAAAAACCAAAAAAAAAAAAAAAAAAAAAAAAATGGTGAGCGCCACTAGGCCAGCAAAGATTTTTTATGTATATGGGTGTTTTGTTTGCATGTGTATCTGCATATGAGAAGAGGCCATTGAATCCCATCTGACTCTCCTTGTAGATGGTTGTGAGTTGCCCTCTGGGTGCTGGGATTTGAACTCAAGACCTGGAAAAGCAGTTAGTCTCTTAACTACTCTACCATCTCTCCATCCCCAAATGCCTATATTTCATCTGCTACTTGAAAACTCGTTGTGAAAGAACTAGAACATTTTAGTGGTTCATCTGTATAATATTTTTCTGAAGTTTTAGCTCCTGTAACATAGTTTTTAATTTCCCTAGAATGCTCCATTTCTCCTAAGTACTGATGGTTAACTTTCCTCATGACTTTTTTTGTTTGTTTGTTTTTTTGAGACAGGGTTTCTCTGTGTAGCTTTGGAGCCTGTCCTGGCACTTGCTCTGTAGACCAGGCTGGCCTGGGACTCACAGAGATCCACTTCCTCATGATTTCTTATGGGGAAGTAATCTGCAAATACTGTCATGTGGCTGTTATATCATTGAATTTTCTCAGCAAGGTGTAGTACTGGATGTTTATGCTGCTAGGTTATCCTGTGTTTACGGTCCCTGTCTTACCCCTTTACTTACAGTCCACTGGTGATCAGGCATTAGAAAGTCTGCAGTACCTTTTCTCCAATGACCTGGATGTGCCAGTAGGCCACATTGTACACACTGGCATGCTCAATGAGTGTGGAGGGTACGAGAATGACTGCAGCATTGCACGCCTGAACAAACGCAGGTGAGTCGAGCTTCCATCCCTTGCTGCTCCTTCCATTAAACTGATACTTCAATAGTTCTCTAGGACTCAGAAACTGATTCAGAAACTCCTATCTTAGTCATTAGGCAGCTGTAAATAAAACTGCAGAAGCAAACAGAAAGGAGAAACTGAAGTTGGGTGGTTCATGCCTATAATGTCAGGTGTCTAAAACAGGTTTACTACAGGTTTGAGGCCAGCTTGGGCTACATGAGGAGTTGTAGGCTAGCTTGGGCTATAAAGTGAAACTAACTCTGTCTAAAAACACAACACAAAACCAGAAGTTTTATTATGTAATACTGGGTGTAGAAGTTAGCTACCCTAATGGGAGAAAAAAAATTTGGGGGGGTTTGTTGTTGTTGTTTTTCAAGACAGGGTTTCTCTGTGTAGCTCAGGCTGTCCTGGAACTCTCTCTGTAGACCAGGCTGACCTTGAACTCACTGAGATCTGCCTGCTTCTGCCTCCTGAGTGCTAGGATTAAAGATGTGCCCCACTGCCAACAGGCTCAGGAGAGAATTCTTCATGAATGTTATGTCTCTGTAATTTTGCTGTTACTGGTATAGAATCTATAATGGTAAAATAGCCCTCCTTGAAAGGTTAGAGATTGTTTCCAAGAGTTCTCAGTGGGGCTTTGAAACTACCTGAGAACTTAGTTGGTTTTTGATTATTCTTCTGCATTTTGGTTTTGATTATTTTTTTGGGGGGGGTCTCATTTTCAGTTTCTTCATGATCTCTCCAACTGACCAGCAAGTCCACTGTTGGGCCTGGCTTAACAAGTATATGCCAAAAGACAGCAACTTGCTGCTAGAGGACGTCACCTGGAAATATACAGGTAATCAGTCTTCTGAGGCTAGCCAAGTAAGGAAGCAGATCCAGATTGTCTCTATGCTATGTATAACTTACTTATATATGACTTGTACAAATGAGAGTCAGAATTAACGGTAAAGAGACACTCTAGGGCTGAGGTGATGATTCAGTAGTTAAGAGCACTTTCTATTTCTTGTAGAGGACCAAGGATTCTGTTCCCAGTGCCTACAGGGTAGCTCACAACTGCCTGTAACCCCAGTTTCAGGGGATCTGATGCCCTCTTTTGGCATTCCATGTGTATATGCCTACATGTACATATACATAAATGGAGACAAAACACCCATAGACATAAAAAAAAATATAAAAAATCTTTGGGGCTGGGGAGAGATGTCTCAGTTAGGAACACTGACTGTTCTTCCAGAGCACCCTGGTTCATCCACATGGCAGCTCACATCCAGCATCCTCTTCTGGCCTCCATGGGTACTGCATACATATGGTACACAGACATATGTAAAACATCCATGTTCATAAAATATGCATGCCTTTAATCTCAGCACTTGGGAGGCAGAGGCAGGTGGATCTCTGAGTTCTAGGCCAGCCTGGTCTACAGAGTGAGTTCCAGGACAGCCAGGCAAAACCCTGTTTTGAAACTCGCCCCCTCCCCAAACATCTTCAAATGAAAATAAGACATGCATATATACATATATGCCATATATATTTTTTTCTACAAATTGACTTTGTGTGTGTGTTCCAGCCTTGGGAAACACATGGTGGAAGGAGAAGACTGACTTGCATTCATCCCATTGAACCCATTCATCTCACCAGGCCTTTATTCTCATTAGTAGCAAATTATGATTAACTAATTGCTTCTAGCTTTGGAAACTACAGAATATTCTCGAACACTAATTGTGTACTAGCCTGTACTAGAGCAGTTAGTGTAGTTCTGTCATATGCATCAGAGTCTAGGCTGGGTAGACAGTTCTCTAGGTACTGATTTGGTATTGGGGCTGCTTCCATCATGTAGGAAGAGAAGGAGAACTATACAGTACTGGTATATGGCCAGCCTTGGAGGTGTCCTCTTAGCTAGGCCTTGTTCTCATGACCCTAGTCTCACTGCAGAGAAGACCACCATATTGGTGAAGAACCACACTAGCCAGGCTCTTCACATCTGCCAGTCAGCAGCTTCATTTAGCAGGTCTGTCAGCAGAAGTGTGTGTGCAAGAGCCCAGGTACTTGCCATTTGAACCTTAGGTTCCTAAGTAAAGGAACACTTTCGTAAGTCTCATCAGTTCTATACCAGAGAGCTGTTACCTCTAACAGGGCTGGGACATTCCTATTTTCAACGTGGCTGGAGATGAATGCCTCCTGAATGTCTAATCCTGATACTGAGACCTTCCTCCTTTATTTTATACCTCCCTAATGCTGGGATTAAAGGCATATGATACCAGGTGCTGAGACCATTTCTTTAGGACTGGTTAGTCTTGTGTAGATCTGGGTGGCCTTGTACTCACAGAGATCTGTCTACCTCTTAATCCTGAGTTCTAGGATTAAAGGTGTGTATCATCACTGCTTGTTCTCTATAGCTTGAAGCTGACTTTGTTTTTCTGAATCCTCTGGCAAACTTTAATAAATCATAAATAATACATCACCACAGTGGTGATTAGTGTTAATGCCTATTTGACAAAAATTTAGAATCACCTGAGAGATAAATGTACATGCCAGTGGGGAATTACCATATCAATAGGGGTAGAAGGAACCACCCAGTGTGGGCAGCACCATTCCCTGATGTGGATCCTGGAGTGTATAAATGGAGAAAGTGAATTAAGCAATTAACAGCATCCATTTGTCACTGTTACTCAGTTATGGATGTCATGTGGCCAGCTGCTTCAAGTTTCTAATGCTTTGATTACCCTCACATGATGGACTGACTTTGAACTGTGAATTAAAATAACTGTCCTTTAAGTTGCTTTTGCCAGTGTATTTTATCACAGTAGTAGGTAAAGAAACAAGGACAGTGGGCAAGCTCAGAAGAGACCCTTTGCATTGGCTCAGCTGTTCCTCTGGAGAGGCTGGACATCTCTTGTTCTTTTCCATATAGCCCTCAATCTGATTGGCCCTCGGGCTGTGGATGTGCTGTCTGAATTGTCCTATGCCCCTATGACTCCAGACCACTTTCCAACTCTGTTTTGCAAGGTAGGTGCTAGTAATCTAAACTTATGTTTGTGATGGGAGTCTCATGTAGTGCATGCTGATCTCAAAACTTGTTATGTAGCTGAGGGTGACCTTATACTTCTGACCTTGCCCAAGTGCTGGGATTGCAGATGTGTATGTACTTGGCTTATGTTTGGTTATATAGTGCTGAGAATCAAACCCATGGCTCCATGTGTGCTAGGCAAGCACTGTACCAGTTGAACCACATCCCTAGCAGAAGTTCTTTTTTTTAAGTGTTAGAGATATTTCTTCTATAGTGGTGGTAGGTTCCTATTCTTAATATGGCGTTAATACTTACATAGTGTTTTGACTTTTATTAAGCAATCAAAATGACCAAGATTCATTTTTTACTTTTTAAGCTTGCTGTGTTTAATAAGGATCAGGCTATTCTCTGAAATAGATCTGACTTATTTGAAAGTCAGATCTGTATATTTATTGGCTTCTGTAGCAGTTGGATTAAACTTTTAAGTAAAAGAGATGAACAATGAACAACAAAAGATAAAGGTAAACGCACATTGAAGTCAGATTCTTTCTCCCTATATTTGCTGCTTTTGTTTTTATACACATATTAACTTTTATACATGTGCCATCTTCAGGGAAGAAATGGGATAGCTGAACCCTAAACAACCTACTCTAGTTGTCTGACACACACTATAACTGAATAACTGAATGCTTTCCGGGAAGCAGTCACATAGCTAATTGGCAACTTGTAACATGCATCTGCTCAGCCATCAGTGGTGGAGGCTCTTGGAAGTTCAAACCTGAGTTGAGACGTTCATAGCAAATTGTTTAGCAGTTTCTTCTGTTCTCCCAGGCAGAGAAAACGTCATGTTAGTGAGCAGATCCCTCCTCAGGCTTGTCTGGACTTTAAAGAACAATCCAACCCATATTCCATTGCCTGGCAAATGCCATGGCTTGTCAAAATTCCTATGGAAGAGACTTGTTTCAGTGCTGTCTCAGACTTAACCACTTCCCTCCATAGAGCAACAATTATATCAGTGTAGCTTTTAAGTCTCCGGTCCCAGAGTAGATGAACTGTGTTCTGTGGGCATTGTCCTTTTTGTGGCAGATGCTTAATATTTGCTTTTAAAGTCCATCAGAGAGGACAGTTGATTGATCTTTATTGTTCCTGATGCTACTTGGCTAACTCAAGTGGTTTAACAAGATTTAGTAAAGAAAAGTATTTTGTACTTAGCAAAGAGTATGCCACACTTCTCACCATCAGCTTACCTGAAACTGGAAGTGGTAATGTTCTGAAGAAGAGATGTGGAGGCTGTGTCCAGTCTCAGGATGAAATGTGCGTTCCTTGGTCTGTATCACTTTTAGGATCCAACAGAGGGTGGGTACTGACTGGCACTGAGTCTCCTGACTAGCGAGGAGGGACTGGTGCTGACTACTTTGCTTTTCTTTGCAGGAGATGAGCGTGGGCTATGCAAATGGGATCCGAGTGATGAGTATGACCCACACGGGAGAGCCAGGCTTCATGCTGTACATCCCCATAGAGGTGAGAGGGTGTCTGGACAGGGCTGCCAGCTTCCCAGAATTCCTAAGCATTGCCAGGTTTGGAGTACTGTGTCCCATCAAGTCCTGGGTAGGCTACAGGAAAAAAGTTTTACCATTTTTAACAGTTAATGTTGAAGAGATACATTCATTTTAAAACTAAGAACTTGAGGGAGCACTGAATGCCTGGTTCTGTCTCTGCACCTACTTGATGTCTCATAGCCATCTGTATCTCTAGTTCTGGGAGGTAAGATGCCCTCTCCTGACCTCCATGGGCACCAGGCACACACATAATACAAATACATACAGGCAAATCACCCATGTACAAGGGATAGGAATAAAATGTTTAAACATCTTTAAAAAATAAAGACTTGGCTGAGGATGTAGTTGTTTTTCTAGAATGTAAGTCATTGATTTGATCCCCAGAACTCTATCAGCTGGGCACAGTAACACCTGCCCATAATCCCAGCACTTTGAAGGTGGGAAGCAGGAGTGTCAGTCTAGTGTGGGATACATGAGACTCTAGGGATCTCAAATATCCATACACAGTGGTAAGACAGATAACTCAACTGTTAAAGGCTAGGCTCACACCCAAAATGTCAAACACCAGCATATCTTTTCTCAACTTAACTTATGAAATCAGTTATAGATAAAAACTGATTATCTCCATCTAACTAGCTCCTATCAGTTAACAAGAACCTACTGTAGTAGTAGTACTCTTACTAATTTCTAATCAGTGATTTTCATGCATGTGCAGAGCTCCTAGCACCTTTTGAGGTTCTTGTTGGTTTTGAGACAGAGTTTCTCTGTGTAGCCCTGGCTGTCCTGGAACTTGATCTGCAGACCATACTGGCCTCAAACTCAGAGATCAGCTTGCCTCTGCTTCCCCAGTGCAGAATTAAAAGTGTGTGTCACCTGCCTATGATTTTTTTATATTAATTGATCTTGGGGGTCTCAGTATTATAGCCCAGGCTGGCCTAGAACTCATGATCCTGGGTGCTAGGATTATAGATGTGTACTAACATGTCTGGTTTTGCCAGTGGAGTTTAACTTCCCTTATAAATGAAGCAGAATGAAATTGAAAGTCAGTCTGCAGAGCTGACAGTCTTTCCATCCACCCTGTACCATCTTGCTTCTTAACTGCCGTGTTTTCTGGAGCACTCATTCTTGCTAGTCTTGGAACATGGGTAGATAGGCCACTGCTCTGCTGTCTAATACTTTGCTTCCCTTCTGGCATGTTCTTCCCCATAAAGACATCTCTAAGCTTACTAATATTCCCTCCCAAAACACACACACACACACACACACACACACACACACACACACACACACACACACACACACACACACGATTTATTATTTTTATATGTATGTGTGCCTGAATTTTATGTGTGGTACACATGTGTGTTCAGGGCCTGAGGAGGCCAGAAGAGGGTGTGAGAATTCCTGGACCTGGAGTCACAAATGGTGGTGAACTAATGGAGAGCTTTGGAAGAGCAAGTGCTCTTACCTGCTGAGCAGTCTCTCCAGCATTCATATCATTTTGTTGTTGCCGTTTCATTGAGATAGGGCCCTACAATATAGCTCTGGCAGTCCCGGAACTCATTATGTAGAATAGGCTGGCCTTGAATTTAAGGAGACCCCTGCTTCTGCCTTCTCAGTGCTGGGATTAAAGGCATGCACCACCTCCACCCAGCCCATGCTTCCTCTCTTACACCACAGTGCACTATTGGTCTTTTAATTTATGTAGTTAGTATATTTGTATGTGGGGGCATACTTGTGTCAAAGTTGATAAATTTTGAGAATTGGTTCTCTCTTGTCACTTTGTGGGATCCAGGGATCAAACTCTAAGTCCTAACATGGGGGCACAAAAACCTCAACCACTGAGCCTGATCTTTGGTATCAATTTAGTTGTTCATTTCTCCCCCACCACACACACTTTAAAAAAAAAAAAAAAGGTAGAGCTAGCCAAGCACTGGGGGTGAGGGTGGGGTAGGGAAGCAGAGGCAGGTGGATCTCTGAGTATGAGGCCAGCCTTGACTATAGAGTAAATTCCAGAATAGCCAAGCCTATACAGAGAAACGATCTTGAAAAACCAAAACAAACAAATGAAAAAACAAGGTAGGGCTTATTTTGATTCACAGTTTGAGTATGGTCCACTGAAGAGTTATGGTGGCAAAATTGTGTGTTTTGCCTGTATGTATATGTAGTGCCCATGGAGGTCAGAAAAGGGCATTGGATCTCTTGGGATTGGAGTTAAAGATGGTTATAAGCTGCCATGTGAGTGTTGGGAATTGAACCCAGGTCTCTGCAGGAATAGCAAGTACTTGTAACCCCTGACCCATCTCTCCAGCTCCTCTACTTTTTATATGTGATACTTTTTCCTGTGTTGTCATTTGATACATGGTATGAAGTTGTTTTTGCATGTGTATTGAACCAAGAGTCATATGCGTGCTAGGCACATATTCTACCACTGAGCTTTGTAACTGCTAGGAAAGCTGTTTACCAACTGAGCTGCAAGTCTTCAGCAGCTTCAAGGCTTTATTTTTAAAATATGAATGTGTCTGTTCAAAATTAACTGTTAAAAATGATAAAACCTGTTTGCTGCAGCCTACCCAAGAATCAGTGGGATGCATCTTTCCAATTAATTAGGAAGGAAATACACTGCTTGCTAACTTTTCTTCTGTTCATATAGTATGCTCTGCATGTCTACAATGAAGTGATGAGTGTTGGACAGAAGTATGGAATCCGGAATGCTGGGTATTATGCTCTTCGAAGTCTCCGAATTGAGAAGTTTTTTGCCTTCTGGGGGCAAGATTTAAACACCCTCACCACCCCACTGGAATGCGGAGGAGAGTCTCGAGTGAAGTTAGAGAAGGTATTGTTTATCCAGATACCCCCTTGTGCCTCTCAGTTGAGCAGTGTGATTTGTCTGGAATAGGAAGAGCTGAATAAATAAAGAAGAGCAGGAAAGACAGGGAAGTGCCAACATTGTACTGCCCAGGAAGTGGAGGACACTGGATACCACAAGTATTTATCTAAGTTAGTTATCTTATAGCCAGTTGCCTTTTAACTTTTAATTATGTGTCTGTGTGTATGTCTGTGTGAGGGTATGCATCTAAGTGCAGTTGCCAGGAGGGCGCTGGGAACTGAGCTTGGGTCCTCTACAAAAACTCATGTATTCTTAACTTCTGAGCCATCTCTCCAGCCCCAGGCATTATTGTTTTAAAACTGTAGTTCAATAGATTATTGCATGAATTCTTTCCCACTTCTGAACCTCATCCAGTGTCCTGTCCTCTTGGCGTCTCAGAAGCAGCAGTTTGTTTTTGTTCTAGAGTATAAGCGTGGCACAAGTATGCCAGTGTATGATTTCCTCTGCCCACCTTTAACGTAGACGGTGTTAAATTAGCACCTTGCTTTATTTACAAGTTTATTTAAGCAGTTCCCTGTCAGTACACCTGTAGTTTGTTTTCTTTCTTTTCTGAGACAGGGTCTCACAATATAGTCCTGGCTGGCCTGGAACTCAGATCCACCAGCCTCTCTACCTCTCAAGTGTTGTTGCCATCATGCCCAGCTATAGTATTCTTTTTTACCTCTACATATAATTAGATGTAGAAAATTATGCCGGTGTTGGTGGCACATGCCTTTAATCCCAGCACTCGGGAGGCAGAGGCAGGTGGATCTCTGAGTTCCAGGCCAGCCTGGTCTACAGAGTGAGTTCCAGGACAGCCTCCAAAGCCACAGAGTAACCCTATCTTGAAAGACAAAAAACAAACAAAATAATTACATGCAATATTTTTTGTGCTGTGAAAGTGTAATAACTCATTAAAATGACAAGTTTGTTCAGCTGTATGTATAACTATATGCATTGGTACATACATACGCATGGACTTTTAGTTGGAAATACACCAAGGTTACCTCTAACTTTGTGGAGCTGGTACTTTGCTGCCACCTTTATATGGGTTCTGGGCCTCTAACTCAGGATTCTAGGCTTTGTATGATAAGAGCCTTTCCCTGCTGAGCCATCTTGACATCCCTTTAGTAAGTAGTCTTGATTAATTATTCAATTTCCTTTTCTAATATTTGTTGTTTCATACAGGCTTGTGATTGAAATCTGTTCACAGCAGTATGTACTTTTGCTGCTACAAAAGTTCTTTGGTGTTTCTGTTGTGGATGCAGATTTTTCACAATGCCTCCAACATCGTTTTCTAAAAGCAGGAGTGGAGGTCTCTGTGTGCTGCGTTCCATTGCACTTACCCTGCTGCTCCCGCCTTGAGTGCCAAGGGCCATCATGTGGACTGGTAGCTCAGGCTTTTCCCCTTTTTTCTTTTCAGGGCATAGACTTCATTGGTCGGGATGCCCTGCTGCAGCAGAAGCAGAATGGGGTGTATAAACGCCTTGCTATGTTCATCCTGGATGACCACGACACAGACCTAGACTTGTGGCCTTGGTGGGGAGAACCCATTTACCGGAATGGGAAGTATGCTGGCAAGACCACCAGTAGTGCCTATAGCTACACTCTTGAGCGCCATGTATGCCTGGGTTATGTACACAATTTTTCTGAGGACAATGGGGAAGAGCAGGTGGTGACAGCGGATTTCATCAACCGAGGAGAATATGAAATTGACATTGCAGGACATCGGTTTCAGGCCAAGGCCAAGCTCTACCCAGTTACCTCCTTTTTTACTCACAAGCGTAGAAAGGATGATGTGGAGCTGAGTGACTTTCATGGGAAATAATGCCAAGTAATGCAGTCTCCTTTCTCCCATCCTCGTGAGGAGCAGCATTCTGGGAACTTTTTTCTCTGTCCCTGTCTCCTTACTAAAGGTACCTTTGTCTTCTCTCTTAACGTCAATGGCCCGCTTTACACTTTTTCCTTGAAAGCCATTTTTGTCCTCCCATTTCCTTTTCCTTTGCTGTTGCCCCTCCTGACAATCCAGGCTCTTTTCGTCCCTCCAGAGACTCACATTCCCACAGTGGAAGGCAGGAGTCACTTGTGGAGTTAAGGTGACAAACTCATGTTTAAATTCATCTTAAGGCAAGTTGGCATTACTCGAGTCATGTGCTGCTCTTGGTAGACTGCTGTGTCTGGTGTGCCTGGGAGCAGCACGCACCGCAAGCAGGCAGAAGGCTCTGTTTCACTGTGCTGCCGGTTACCACCTGATACCTCTCAACCATCTACCTCACTGATGAGAGGGATTGCACGGACACTGTCTGCTCTGTGGGAGGGACAGTAGTTAGCCTGGCCTCTCCAACTTTGTTCTTGGATGTTTGGGCCGGGGCAACCTGCCTGCAGTTCTCTTTATTTTCTGCTATTTTGTATAATGAGGTTGGTTGTTTTTTAGCTGAGTAAACAAGTATGCCAGTATTTGAAAGGAAAAAACCAAACCAAACCCATGTTGCCTTTGGTGTTGCTTTTCTCAGCAGGAGCGGTGTGAACTCAGATGTCGAGTTCCTACTGTTAGAAGAGTGTTGCTTTTCTTTCGGCTACTCATAGGTCAGCTAGCTATCCCTTCTTGATTTTCTTCAGATGGCTTCTCGCCTCACCTGTGCCTTGTGTAGCCTGCCTATGACCTCAACATTCATTCCTATCCCTTTAGAAGAGGGAGAAGGGATTAGGTGGGTTGTCTTGGGTGAGTAAGTAAACCATGCTGTTCGTACATGGTTCCAGAGAGCTACCAGAGACTCAAGTTTTACATCTGGCATGAACAAAGCCACACAGAGATGGCCATTGAGAGCTGTAAGTACAATGCAGGCCAGAGACTGCTTCCCATCTTTTCTTTACAGGTTCCACCCCCTCCCCCACAGAACCTTTGGAATAGAAAGTGACTGGGGCACCCACCAAATGCACTACACAATTCAGTGATACTGCTGTTTTCATTCTGTGATATGGTTTCCTCATTGGAGCTCAGGCTGGCCTCACATTTGCAGTGCCTTTGCTTTAGTCTCCGGAGTACTAGGACTCAGGTGTTGTGACAGTCTGTTTTCTGAAAGTGAAACTTGGATGTGACAGGCTATGCTATGTAACACCAACACTTAGCTTTCTCTTGTATACAAACTGACCTAGTCTGGATTTGAGAACCTTTAATTCAACTGTAGTTCTCAGTAACTTGGAAGCATTGGTTCTGCTAAATTTACATTAATAGAAATCTTTCATTTCTTTAGAGCAGCTCAAAATTCCCAAGTGTCTCTTTGGCATTACTGTAGGGCCTGTTATCCATTCAGACTAGTTCTTTTTGCACTTTTCTTGTTATTTTCTCCAGATAGGCCACTCCTACTTGGCTTCTGACAAAATTTAATTGGTTTATTAAAAGGGCACAGTCAGAGTTTAGTGTGAGGGGAGATTGCTATTTTGGAGGATATGTGTATTTAATGAGACGAGAGGCACTGTTTCTAGGCAAAGGGAAGAAAGGAGACATGCGGGTTGGAGAGATGGCTCAGAGGTTAAGAGCACTGACTGCTCTTCCAGAGGTCCTGAGTTCAATTCCCAGCAACCACATGGTGGCTCACAACCATCGGTAATGAGACCTGGTGCCCTCTTCGGGCCTGCAGACATACATGCAGGCAGAATACTATATGTTAAATAAATAAATAAATCTTAAAAAACAAAAAAAAGAAGAAAGGAGACATGCTTCACTAGAAAGCTTCGAGGCAGCAGCAGCAGGAACAGTGGAGATCAAGAGCCGGCCTGGGCTGACCTGTGAAGCTGGAGTAGAGACGCGCTGCTCTTTCATGTGCAGCTGTGACGATCCCGTCTGTGAAGGAAAGCTTAGTTGGAATTAAATACAAAAGAAAATTTTGACCTATGTGTTGATAGTAAAAATGTGGTAGCAAACTTGCTCTTTAACTGTCGGAAGTGTTACCACTTTGCTTCCAAATGGGGAGGAGGGTGGCACCTTCCAAAACAGTAGTAGTTTAAAATTGGGCATAGTACACCATTCAAATACATACGGATGTCATCTAGAGTATTTTCAGCATAGACTGATTCCTTCCTGCACTTGTTCATCTCTGGCTACTTAATTAACTGTCCTTTCTAAGTAGGCGGGAACTGCTGTATTTAAAATTACACAGCAACTTTCTTGGTAAATCTTCAGCTAGAAGTTGTAGCTGTTGCTGATATCAGCCCTTTGAGCTTACAGAAAGTGCTTATCTTGCTGGGAAGGCGTTAGAGGGACTGAGAGTGGGGTACATGGGCCTATTTAGAAATGCCTCCCCCAGGGGCTCATGGTCCTATTCCTTCAACTGTGATTAGGTGTTGGGTTTTCTGTGCTGCCGCTTGTTTACTGTGTACTCCAAAACAAACTTACATTAGGCGCAAAATACATCCTTAAGAGTTTCACTTGGTCCATTCAAACATAAATAATGCAAATCTTACTTCCCATTTTGCCCTGATACAAGTGCTTTAAATAGACAGATCTCTTCCACTAACCCTGAAGTTTTTCTTATGCTTCTTGTTATAAGCACCTTAGATAGTCGAGGGGACCATTTAACCTAAAACACCTGACCCACCAGTGTTGGTAGAGCATTCTGGACTCTTCAGGAACAAATGCAGGTTGTTAACAGAAATACTAGGTCTAGAGCAGTGGCTCTCAACCAGTAGGTTCCAAGGGGTCAAATGACCCTTTCACAGGAGTCGTTGCCTAAGACCATCGGAAAACACAGATGTTTACATTCATAACAGTGCAAAGTTGCATTTGTGAAGTGGCAACGAAAATAACTATGGTTGGAAGTCATCACGAAATGAGGAACTGTACTAAAAGGTCACAGCATTAGGAAGGTTGAGAACCACTGGTCTAGAGGCATTTGAAAATCCACAAAGAACAGTCACTGTACATCTTCAGTTGTGTGACATTTCCAACTCTTAGACAGTGGGGCTACCTTGGCTTACCTTGTATGACAGTACTCTCAGGGGGTAGCCTGTTAGCTGTAAGGGATTGTAAACGCTTCAGCTTTAGATGATAGATTCTCCAATCTGTTGTCACATCTACTTTCCAGAGATGAGGCATTCCATGTTCTCTTTGATTGTGGTAGCAATGAAATCTTCTTTAACAAGGTAACAAAGTATATTAAAGGCCTAAGGTTGGGCGTTTTCTGTGAACCTTCTTGAACGATCTATCATTAAGGCTTTCTTTTCCTCTTACTTGTTCTTTACACATGCAAGGCCTGTTTCTCAGTACTACCATAGTCATTTGAAATATACTCAAGCTTGTAACAGAGAGTTCCCTTCCATGTATAGGTACTGAGCTTACAAAAAGGGACAAGGAGAAACAGCTTGGTTAGTCTTAATTATAAGCACACCTCGCTGAAATTTTAGTTCTTCCTATGTCCCTATAGGGTCATCTAACACAGTACTAAACCCAATTTCTGTTAAGTCTCCAAGAGCCCATTTATGCAACAGTGGAGTACAAGCACTGCAGCTTGCCTTCTGTTGGGAAGTATGCTAGCTCTGGCCTCTCTCTGTGTCCCAAAAAAGTAACTAAATATGAAAAGCAGACTTAGAGATTTTAGTATTATACTGCCCTGTCTTTGGATTTGGGTGGCAGTGGCAATATGAGTTACAAATAGCAGGAATTGCTAAAGGTTTGCTTTGCTTCACGAAGACTCACTGATTATCCTCTAGCTTATGAACACATTTGCTAGCATCTGAAAAGATCTTCACCGTCCTTATGCCTCACAGTATTGGTACTAGCCCTGGAAGACTGTCATGGAAGAGCAGTTACATCATCATGTTTGTAGGGATGAACTACAAATTTCATCCTTGTATATCCCTTACTTGGCCCGAGGTTACAGATTTATCATTTTAGGATAATGAAGAATGACTTGTCATTTTTCATTGTCTGCATCCCAACACCCCCATCTCACATGTTGGTAAATAGTACCATAGTGTCAAGACAATACAGGTACATTTTCTTTTTTTTTTTTTTTTGGTTTTACGAGACAGGGTTTCTCTGTATTGCTTTGGAGGCTGTCCTGGAACTCACTCTGTAGACCAGCCCGGCCTCGAACTCACAGAGATCTGTCTGCCTCTGCCTCCCGAGTGCTGGGGTTAAAGGCGTGCGCCACCAACGCCCGGCTCAGGTACATTTTCTTATGGCTGATGAATGCTCATCTTCTGCTTACATCTGTAGGCACATAGATTGAGAAGCTGGTGAGTAGGGAAGTGTGTCTGAGCTATAGCTATGCCTGTGTGCATGTCAGAAATGGCAAGTGAGCTGTGGGCTGCTTTGGCAGCACCTCTCCTCTTCCTCTGCCTCCATTACTTTTGGTCTCCAAGGTGCTGATCTGTAAGCCCCCCATTTTCATGTCAATATGGGGCTTTGTCCTGCAGTTCCTCAACAGTACCAACCAACAAGGCTGGCTCTCACACAGCTTTGCCTTCTCTTGGTATGTTAAACATCAGCATTTTCTCTGTAGAAGCTCTTGGTCTCTCTCGGCAACTGTCCACATCTGAATGATGATATACATTTTCCTCGTTTTAATTCACCTGTTTTTAATCTTTGCAAACATCTACCTCCTTGTCCTCTTGTCTGAAGGACAGATTACAAGAGGAGGGGGAGTTACCTTTATCATGTTTCAGAAGGTCTGTACCAGGATTTCCTTTGCACACCAAGATCTGAAGCTTAGAGTACTTCTCTCAGCCTAGTTCTAGTGCCTTACACTCCAGAGTGTCCGGTAGTGGGCCGAGGTGGGAAGAAAGCAGAATGTTCAGTCGGGGTTCTCATCATCCACATCAGCCCTCCTTCCTCAGAATAACCTGGGTGTGGGTAAAAAGTTCTGCAGCTCATTTCACTGGAAGCTTTTCTAGTTCATAATTAACTCTGATCAGTGCTTAAGAAACATAGAACACCACTGTAGTTACTATAGAGTTCTGTAAACTTGCATTTAGTGTGGTTCTGCTCAGCTCCTTTCTGTTCCTGTGTAGTGTCAGCATGTGGTCCTGAGGACATTCTAGATACTGGAGTAAATAAGAACTTTTCTCAATCGCAGACTCAGCTGACTTTGGACACATGGGGTAACTGTGCTTTTTAGGCCAGATTTCAGTTGAGATTTTCTTTTCATGTATAAGTTATATAAATGAATAAAAAGATGTTTCTGTTAACTATTGTTATTTTTATTTGTGAAATGTCCTTTAACTGGCTACAACATGTTGTTTGCCCACCTTCTCAAAGGCTAACACTGTTCATAAAACCATGTATACCTGTGATGTCAAGGGGCTTAGAAACCTGAACATGACCCATATGCGTGTAAGCAAGCCCACATCTGTGATCTCTTCCCTTGTAGTCTCCCCAGCTTTCATCAGTCTCTGACTCTGCATCTCTAACATGATTACTAAAAATCCATGCTTTTCATAATAGGCTTTTACCACTCAGAGTTAACAACTCCTTTAAGGCATAATGCAAAGGTGCCAAGCTTTGGGTTGAATCTGTGCAAATTTTTGTTGCCTCAGCATTAGTGTGTGTATAAAAAACGCAGAAAACTGTCTTGGGGTTGGTCATTGAACCCAGGGCCCTGCATGTGCTAAGCACACATACTACCTACCACTTATCTACAAGAGTCCCCTTTGGACGTTTCCAGTTACTTTGAGTTTCATTGTCCTAGTTACTTTATAGGATGCATGCGGAGATAACATTCCATGCAGATGCTACCGGGGAACCACCTCCCTATGGACATAACCCTGATTGTGTTCCTGATGATCCAGCTTACATGGATTGTGCATAAGAGCCAGTGATCACCTCTTGGTGGTCATAATGTTTGTTACTTACCTAGGGGAACTTGTATAGGCTTGTTTTAATCTCACCAGTTGGAACTGAAGACATAGTTCTGTGTTAGAAGACATACCTGTCATTTTCAAGCCTCTTGCGTTTCATATCTGGCACTACAAAAAGAAAAAAAAAGCTACACAATGTAATAAACATTAAGTGTCAAGATTGTTGCCCCCCCCACCATGGCATACCTGCCTTATGAAGGTAGCCAATCTCAGCAGTTTCTGCTTTAGTCTCCATTCTTCAAGGAAATAAAAGGGAATAGAGTGGATACTTGCGTAGTTTCTTATATGAACCATCACACGTATACTCCTTGTTTTCTTTTTTTTGGTTTTTCGAGACAGGGTTTCTCTGTGGCTTTGGAGGCTGTCCTGGAACTCACTTTGTAGACCAGGCTGGCCTCGAACTCACAGTGCTGGGATTAAAGGCATATGCCACCAACGCCCGGCCTACTCCTTGTTTTCTTCATTTAATAGTCACCCCACAGGCCATCTGGTAGATGGATGTCTTCCCGTTTTAGCTAAGATTTTCAAGGGCTTGTCCCCCCAAAATAATTAAACATTGACCCACCAGAATCACTATTAAGGATGTCTTTTGTAATGCCCAGATGGGTAATTTGGAGAGAAAACCAAGTTTTCATGAGCTGTCTGCTTCATGTTTCCAGGCTTGCAAATTTTCTCTACAGGAGCGTTAGGTGACTACGGTGACACCAGATGTTGGGGCAGAAGGTAGACTCCTCACTTGCTGGTTTCCTCTCCCTTACCACTATCGATTGATTCTCCATTATAAGTTCCCAAAACTGTGATCAATGCCAAGATTTATCCCCAGTGACTTCTGAAAGCCAATAGTAGTAAGCTTTAGGGCACACTCAAGAGAATTGCTTGGAGAAATGATTCTGAGGTTAAGAGCACTTACTGCTCTTTAAAAAGTATATATTTGTGGGGCTGGAGAATTTGCTCAGCGGTTAAGAGCACTGGCTGTTCTTCCAGAGGACTGGTTTCAGTTCTCAGCACTCACATAGCAGCTCACAACTGTCTGACTCCAGTTCCACACCCTCACACCAGTGCACACAAATATGTATGTATCTAGGTGTTTTGCCTGCATGTATTTATTTGCTTAATGTATGTACTTGGTGTTCAAAGAGGCCAGAATGAGGGCATCAGATTCCCTGGGACTGCAGTTACAAAGTGTGAGCTGCTGGGAACTGAAGCCAGGTCCTCTGGAAGAGCAGCCAGTGCTGTCAACTAATGAGTTCTCTTTCCAACTCACACTTGGAGAGGACTTATGTGGGTTCAAGTCCCAGCAACCACGACCTCTTACAACCCTCTGTAGATCCTCTACAGACACCAGACACACAGGCATAAACATACATGATGCGCCCCCCCATTTGTTTTTTGTTTTTGTTTTTGGTTTTTTGGACAGTTTATCTGTATTGTTTTGGAGGCTATCCTGGAACTAGCTCTGAACCAGGCTGGCCTCGAACTCACAGAGACCCGCCTGCCTCTGTCTCCCAAGTGCTGGGATTAAAGGTGTGTGCCACCAGTGCCCGCTCTCTCTCTCTCTCTCTCTCTCTCTCTCTCTCTCTCTCTCTCTCTCTCTCTCTCTCTCTCTCTCTCTCTCTCTCTCGTGCGCGCGCGCACACACACACACACACCCTGCTATTTTTATTTTTTGTTGTGAGGCTAGCCTTTAACGGCTGAGCCATCTCTCCAGCCTCCCCCCCCGCCGCTATTTTTTTTTTTTTTTTTTTTTTTGGTTTTTCGAGACAGGGTTTCTCTGTGGCTTTGGAGGCTGTTCTGGAACTCGCTCTGTAGACCAGGCTGGCCTCGAACTCACGGAGATCTGCCTGCCTCTACCTCCCGAGTGCTTGGATTAAAGGCGTGCACCACCAATGCCCGGGCCCCCTGCTATTTTTTAAAACAGGGTTTTTCTGTCTCTTCTTCCTGAGTGCTGGTATTAAAGGTATGTGTCACCACCACCTAACTCTACCCTTTCTTTTTTTTAAAGATTTATTTATTATGTATACAGTGTTCTGTATGCCTGCAGGCCAGAAGAGGGCACCAGATCTCATTACAGATGGTTGTGAGTCACCATGTGTTTGCTGGGAATTGAACTCAGGACCTCTGGAAGAACAGCCAGTACTCAACCTCTGAGCCATCTCTCCAACCCCTTATTTCTTCTTTTAAGATAGGGTTTTTGTGTAGCATTGGAGCTTGTCCTGGAACTCCCTTTGTAGACCAGCTGACCTCCAACTCAAAGAGATCCACCTGCCTCTGCCTGAGTGCTGGGACTAAAGGCGTGTGTCACAACCGCCTGGCCTCTACCCTTTATTTTTACTTTTGTGTGTGATTCTCTCTGTGGGCATTTGAATGTTGTGTCATATGGAAAACAGCAACAGACCCAAAGTAGCTATGTGAATTGCATAGGTTGGGGTGAGATACATTGCTTGTATAGCACTTTCTTCAAGATCTGAGGCTCTAAGTCAGCAGGTTCCAAAAGGGAAAGAAACATCCATCGAGGAGGGAGGTTTTTTTTTTTTTTTTTTTTTTTGAGGCAGGGTTTCTCTGTGGATTTGGAGGCGAGGCTGTCCTGTATCCTGGAACTATAGTCCAGGCTGGTCTCGAACTCACAGAGATTCGCCTGCCTCTGCCTCCTGAGTGTTGGGATTAAAGGTGTGCACCACCATCACCTGGCCTACTAGGGAGGCTAGGAAACCCCTAGACTCTGAAACTGACCAGACAACACGGCTCCTTCCTCCCTCCCTCCCCAAGGATATATTATCAGTGCTGCAGCTGAAGAGACACTCAGACTAGCTGAGCTGCCCGGAAGAGACACTGCTCCCCAACCTGTCCAGGTGCCTGCAAGCTGTGTGACGGCCTTGGTGCCTACACCTTGTCATGTAGGAGTTTGAGCTCCTGATCCTCCTGGCCTCCACCTCACTGGCGCTGTGCTCCTACATTTGGCTTGCGTTCCTAGATTTTTTGTTTTTACATGAATCTAGTATTCTATCCCTACTTCCGTTTATTCCCTTACCCTCCCCATCCCCGCCTTTTTTTTTTTTTTTCAAGACAGGGTTTCTCTATGTAACAGCTCTGGCTGTCCTGAAACTAGGCCCCTTTTTCTCTTACAGACAGGGTCTCACCTGGTGGTGGTGGCGCACACCTTTAATGCCAGCAGAGGCAGGCAGATGGCAGATCTGTGAGTTCAAGGCCAGCCTGGTCTACAGAATGAGTTTGGGGACAGCCGGGACTGTTGGTTTTTTTTGGGGGGGTTATTTATTTATTTGTTTATTTATTTATTTTTGGTTTTACGAGACAGGGTTTCTCTGTATTGTTTTGGAGGCTGTTGGTCCAGCCCGGCCTCGAACACACAGAGATCCGCCTGCCTCTGCCTCCCGAGTGCTGGGATTAAAGGCATGCGCCACCACTGCCCAGCCTTTTTTTTTTTTTTTGGTTTTTCAAGACAGGGTTTCTCCGTATTGTTTTGGAGGCTGTCCTGGAACTGGCTCTTGTAGACCAGGCTGGCCTTGAACTCACAGAGATCTGCCTGCCTCTGCCTCCCAAGTGCTGGGATTAAAGGCATGCACCATCAACACCCAGCTCAGCCAGGACTGTTACACAGAGAAACCCTGTCCTGAAAAAAAATTAAAAAACAAAAACAAAACAGGGTCTCACACACCTCAGACTGGCCTCTGCCTCCTTGGATATTGTTGTAATTTAAGAAAAGCAGTGAGACAGAAAGATGCTGTTCGACAGGGTTCAAGCACAGGGTTGTTTTTTTTTTTAATTAGGGAAGAGGATCATAAAAAGGGGACAGGGAAGGGGGAAGATCAGCCTCTGGAGACAGGAGCAGCAGGAGAGAGGAGAGAAAAAAGTGGGGGAGAGAGAAGGATGGGCCTTTTTAAAAGGGAACATAGCAACTGTGCACAGGTGGTGCTCTTAGTGACTGCAGCTGAAGGCGTATCCTGTCAGAACCCCAAAGGGCAGCCCAGTACAGATGCCTGAATACTAACATTCCTCCTTTTTATTTATTATAAGAAGGTGAGCTAGAAAGGGGCAGCAGGTGGGCTGGAGAGATGGCTCACAGTTTAAGAGCACTGACTGCTCTTCCAAAGGTCCTGAGTTAAATTCCCAGCAACCACATGGTGGCTCACAACCATCTATGATGAGATTTTGTACCCTCTTCTGGCCTGCAGACATACATGCAGGCTGAATACTGTATGCATAATAAAATCTTTAAAAAAAAAAAAGGGTTAGCAGGTAAGGCGGGAATAAGAATGCCATGTTCTCAAGACTACCGCGTCAGCTAGTGTTGCTCATCTTTGGGGGACCTGGGA